ATTCCTTTGGGTCAGAAGTTTACATACACAAAGTTGACTGTGCCTTTAAACAGCTTGGAAAATTCCAGAAAATGATGTCATGGCTTTAGAAGCTTCTGATAAGCTAATTGACATCATTTGAGTCAATTGGAGTTGTACCTGTGGATGTATTTCAAGGCCTACCTTCAAACTCAGTGCCTCTTTGCTTGACATCATGGGAAAATCAAAAGAAATCAGCCAAGACCTCAGAAAAAACATTGTAGACCTCCACAAGTCTGGTTCATCCTTGGGAGCAATTTCCAAAGCCTGAAGGTACCACGTTCATCTGTACAAACAATAGTACGCAAGTATAAACACCATGGGACCAAGCAGCCGTCATACCGCTCAGGAAGGAGACGTGTTCTGTCTCCTAGAGATGAACGTACTTTGGTGCGAAAATTGCAAATCAATCCCAGAACAACAGCAAAGGACCTTGTGAAGATGCTGGAGGAAACAGGTACAAAAGTATCTATATCAACAGTAAAACGAGTCCTATATCGACATAACCTGAAAGGCCGCTCAGCAAGGAATCGCCATAAAAAGCCAGACTACGGTTTGCAACTGCACATGGGGACAAAGATTGTACTTTTTGGAGAAATGTCCTCTGGCCTGATTAAACAAAAATAGAACGGTTTGGCCATAATGACCATCGTTATGTTTGGAGGAAAAAGGGGGTGCTTGCAAGCCGAATAACACCATCCCAACCGTGAAGCACGGGGGTGGCAGCATCATGTTGTGGGGGTGCTTTGCTGCAGGAGGGACTGGTGCACTTCACAAAATAGATGGCATCATGAGGAAGGAAAATTATGTGGATATATTGAAGCAACATCTCAAGACATCAGTCAGGAAGTTAAAGCTTGGTCGCAAATGGGTCTTCCAAATGGACAATGACCCCAAGCATACTTCCAAAGTTGTGGAAAAATGGACAACAAAGTCAAGTTATTGGAGTGGCCATCACAAAGCCCTGACCTCAAACCTATAGAAAATTTGTGGACAGAACTGAAAAAGCTTGTGTGAGCAAGGATGCCTAAAAACCTGACTCAGTTACACCAGCTCTGTCAGGAGGAATGGGCCAAAATTCACCCAACTTATTGTGGGAAGCTTGTGGAAGGCTACCCGAAACGTTTGACCCAAGTTAAACAATTTAAAGGCAATGCTAATTGAGTGTATGTGTCACGCCCTGACTCTGAGGACTCTGTTGAGTCAGGGTATGTATTTTCCGTGTTGTGTGTTGCTATGTTGATTTCTATGTTTTAGTTCTAGCATGTGCAGATCTATGTTGGCCGGGGTGGTTCCCAATCAGAGGCAGCTGTAGCTCGTTGTCTCTGATTGGGGACCATACTTAGGCAGCCTTTTGGCACCTGTTAGTTGTGGGATCTTGTTCCGTGTGAGGTATGTTTTTTGTCTACCTTGGACTTCACGTTTCGTTTGTTGTTTTGTCGTGTGTTCAGTACGTAAATAAATATGAATGCATATCACGCTGCGCCTTGGTCCTTCTCGTCCGTAAACGATCGTGACAGAAGATCCCACCAATCCTGGATCAAGCAGCGTGACGAGGAGAGAGGATGGACTTGGGAGGAGATGAGTGAGAGTCTGGCAAGAGGGATGGAGGCCATGATCACGGGGGAGAGACAATCCCCAAAAAAATTTAGGGGGGGGGCTCACGCCGTGGACGACGAGGCAGCAGGAGGCTGCGATAGAGCGGTTCCGCTGTTTAGCAGAGGAGGCCACCAGATTAGGGGGGTCATTGGTTCAGAGGGAGCAGAAGGAAAGTGTAGAGGCACGGCGAGAGGAGCTGGTTAGGCAGCAGAAGGAGCAGGGGTTAATGAAGGAACCCAGTCCCGCTCCTCGCACCAATCAAGTGGTGCGTGTCGCCAGTCCGGTCCGGCCCGTTCCTGCTTCCCACACTAAGCCAGTGGTGTGTGTTCCCAGTACGGTTCGGCCCGTTCCTGCTCCTCGCATCAAGCCAGTGGTGCGCGTCGCCAGCCCGGCCTGTTCCTGCCCCTCGCACCAAGCCAGTGATGCGCGTCGCCAGCCCGGTCCGACTTGTTCCTGTCCCTCGCACCAAGCCAGTGGTGCGCGTCGCCAGCCCGGCCCGGCCTGTTCCTGCCCCTCGCACCAAGCCAGTGGTGCGCGTCGCCAGCCCGGTCCGACCTGTTCCTGTCCCTCGCACCAAGTCAGTGGTGCGCGTCGCCAGCCCGGCCCGGCCTGTTCCTGCCCCTCGCACAAAGCCAGTGGTGCGTGTCGCCAGCCCGGTCCGACCTGTGCCTGTCCCTCGCACCAAGCCAGTGGTGCGCGTCGCCAGCCCGGCCCGGCCTGTTCCTGCTCCCCGCACCAGGCTAGTGGTGCGTGTCGCCAGTCTGGTACGGCCCGTTCCTGTTCACCGCACCAAGCCAGTGGTGCGCGTCGTCAGCCCAGTCCGGCCCGTTCCTGCTCCCCACACCAAGCCAGGGGTGCGCGTCATCAGCCAGGTCCGGCCCGTTCCTACTCCCCGCACCAAGCCAGTGGTGCGTGTGTCCAGTCCGGCACGGCCCGTGCCTGTTCCACCGGTCCCTGGTCCGGCACCGGTCAGCTGCTCCACTCCGGAGCCAGAGCAATCCGCTCCACCGGGGTCCAGTCCAGCTCCGGTCAGCGGCTCCACTCCGGAGCCAGAGCAGTCCGTTCCACCGGTGCCTGGTCCGGCACCGGTCAGCTGCTCCACTCCGGAGCCAGAGCAATCCGCTCCACCGGGGTCTAGTCCAGCTCCGGTCAGCGGCTCCACTCCGGAGCCAGAGCAGTCCGCTCCACCGGTGCCTGATCCAGCTCCGGTCAGCGGCTCCACTCCGGAGCCAGAGCAGTTCGATCCACCGTCGTCGGGTACAGCTCCAGTCAGCGGTTCCAGACCAGACCAGGGGCGCAACAGGGAGGCGGATAATAGGTGGTGGTCACGCCCGGAGCCGGATCCGCCTCCGAGGCGGAATGCCCACCCGGCCCCTACCCTGTTATGTTTATGTGGCGCCGTCGGAGTCCGCACCTTTGGGGGGGGGGGTACTGTCACGCCCTGACTCTGAGGACTTGTATTTGTTGAGTCAGGGTGTGTATTTTCCGTGTTGTGTGTTGCTATGTTGATTTCTATGTTTTAGATCTAGTATGTGCAGATCTATGTTGGCCGGTGTGGTTCCCAATCAGAGGCAGCTGTAGCTTGTTGTCTCTGATTGGGGACCATACTTAGGCAGCCTTTTGGCACCTGTTAGTTGTGGGATCTTGTTCCGTGTGAGGTATGTTTTTTGTCTACCTTGGACTTCACGTTTCGTTTGTCGTGTGTTCAGTACGTAAATAAATATGAATGCATATCACGCTGCGCCTTGGTCCTTCTCGTCCGTAAACGATCGTGACAGTATGTAAACTTCTGACCCACTGGGAATGTGATGAAAGAAATAAAAGCTGAAATAAATCATTCTCTCTACTATTATTCTGACATTTCACATTCTTAAAATAAAGTTGTGATCCTAACTGACCTAAGACAGGGAATTTTTATCAGGATTAAATGTCAGGAATTGTGGAAAAACAGAGTTTAAATGTATTTGGCTAAGGTGTATGTAAACTTCCGACTTCAACTGTATATACAATAAGGAAATTGCCCCAGATCCCTCTGTCGCTATTTTCGGGGTAGCCCCCGAAGGGCTTACTTTCTGTAACACCCAAGCAGAGGCCATAGCCTTCTCGTTCCTTCTGGCCCGCCCACATATTATTTTTAAATGGAAGTCAGATACCCCGCCATCGCATGCTCACTGGGTTAGGGATGTTATGGCCCATCCTAAATTGAGTAAGGGATGTTATGAACTTACTTATATAGTATTTTTCTTATTTTATTTTATTATTATATAATTTGTATTGTCCAACAGCTGTTGCATTGGATAGTACCAATGTAAATTGTTGCTGTATTTATGTTTTGTTACTGTTGATTATCTACTTTTAAAAACCAATAAAACCAATTGAAATAATAATAACTTTCTTTCACTTTGAAAATGTGTAATAGGTTTTGTAGATCCGCAGAATTATTTATTTTTTTAGATACAATTTTAAGGCAACAAAATGTGAATACTGTGCAAGGGGTGTGTACACTTTCACAAGTCACTTTGGTTTCCTTATTCTAAAACAAGGCTGTTTTATACATTTAGCTTTTGGCCACATTTCCTTATTTACCCTCTTCTCCTCGCAGCTAAAGCAGTCTTGGGAGCGTTCACAGAATATCACATGGCTTCTCTGTTTGAAGACAGCTGGGCACTCCTGAATCTTGTGAGAGGCCTTAAGACTCTAGGAGGAGGCTAGAAAGAGAGAGAGATAGAAAAAAAGATAAATGGAGCACTTGATTAACCATAAATGTTCTGAAAGCAGTAACTGATTAACCATAACTGTTCTGAAAGCAGTAACTGATTAACCATAACTGTTCTGAAAGCAGTAAATGCCATATTATTCCTGGTTTGTGGTCTGACAATGTTTGTCTTGTTTGTCCGATGTGGCACAAAAACATGCTCTGTATATCTCTAAATTCAGTTCGGGGACAAGATAAACACTCATTACATTATGAAATTATGATTTGACACATGGTTAAGAAAGCAATCCTGGAATGTTGTTTTCAGATGCCTGTTTCAGCTTGTTTTCTAGTGTGGGAAATAATAAATGCAATCAAATCAATACTTCCATAACCATTGCAATTCACAGCAAAGTCATATCAGCAGTGAAACATTACTGCAAAATAACACCAATTTACACACATTTGTCAGTCCACTAAAACTCAAATACATATTATAAACAAATGTGTATCATAACAGTACAACAAATTCCAGCAAAACAATTATCTGCCGTCCTCATTTTTGCAATGATACCGTGCAACGCAAAAACAACCCAGTTAGAAGTAGCCAAGTAAGAATGAGTGACTCGGTGTGTTAGTCACCACAGTCCAGTAGCAGTTAGAACCATGCGCCAGTAGACCAGCCAGTTTAAAGGAGTACCTCAGGTGCCTTCCTCTTAATCAACCTGAGCTGTGGGGAGCTTGTGGATGTTTCCCCCCCTCTCCCCATGTCCTCAGTCTGCTCTGTTGCTGGGGGTGCAGCGGGTGCAGGGGATGGAGGTGGAGAGGGTAGAGCGGGCTGGGGGGTCAGAGAGGGCGAAGGAGTGGGTGTGGGTTCAGTCATGGGTTCGGGGGGCGTAATAGGGTGGGACAGTGGCTCCTTGGTGTCACACTGATCGAAGCTCAGCACCTCATATTCAGTCATGTCAAAATCCTGCCCTGCACCATGAGAATGACCGTGGTAAAAATAATTACAGACACGCATCAGAAAGTATGCTGAAATCTGCAGTGAAATGTACTATAATTATTGAAGTGATGTAGCTCATTTCATTACACTGAGGTTGTTATGAGTTCAGTTTACTATGGGGCAGAGTAGGGTTGTTGTTCTCTACACAGACCAAGGGAGCAGACATCATCTGACCATGTGTGCAGGCAGGGGAATAAGAACTAAAATAATGCTGAAAGAAATGGAATACCGTCTCTCACAGGGCAAACAAGCATACCTATGCCATTAGGACGAGGACTCCTCTTCAGGGCCCTTCATTAAGTCTCTGCAGAATTATGTTCAGTACACTGGATTTCTATCTTATCATTCAATTTGCCATGAAAGCAGAAATCAAAAGGCCAAAATAGCCTTTCATTACCCTGCTCTTTCAGTATAAAGGATGCTTGTGGACTTATCAGATAATATCATGTTGTTCTGAAATCAGATAATCACATTGTAATTATTGCACAACAAGTGTGTGGTAAGTTAACAAAAAAATTGAAAATGTGTTAATCATCCACACAGTACAGCCACTTACAGTTACAGTTATCCACAATATTAGTGCTTTAAAAAAAAATCATGTTAACAGAGCCATGGTGCAAAAGCATTCCTTTTCACCTTTGTGACACTCAATAACCTCTTGGAAAATAGACTAATCAATCCAAACAAAGTGAATCTCAAAGAAACTTTGGACTGTACAACACATACTGTATAATGACAAGACATGAAACATTGAATGAGTCTGGCCACTGGAGAGCAGGATGTGGTCATTCAATGATAACATCTAAAAGTTAAGTATTCCTAGATGGGTTGAGAGCCTCCCTGGCAGCCCTATGGAGACTGACCTGCAGTCAGAGAGCGTCACAAACAGGAAGGGAGATGTGGGGTTAGGGGGACTCAGGAAAGTCATCTTACAGAACTATTATCTGCAGGCTTAAACAGGAAGGAGGCCATATGATAGTTTTCAAGTTTTAATGTCACATGCACAAGTACAGTGAAATGCCTTTCTTGCAAGCTCTAAACCCAACAATGCAGTAAGCAATAACAATGTAATACTAAAAATAACATAAGGTAGAACAAAAACACACAATAAATAAAAATTAGAAATAAGAAGAACATGAGAAAGTAAGTAAGCATACTATATACAGGGTCAGTCAGTTCCAGTACCATATTTACAGTGTGCAGGAATACTGGAGTGATAGAGGTAGATATGTATAGGGTTAAGGTGACTAGGCATCAGCATATATGATAAATAGAGTAGCAGCAGCGTATATGATGATTGTATGTGAGTGGGTGTGTGTATAGAGTCAGTATAAATGTATTTGCATATTATGTGTGAGTGAGAAAATTATGAAGTGAGTGTTTGTGTGTGTTGGAGTGTCAGTGTGCGTGAATGTGTAGGGCCCTGTGAGTGTGCATAGAGAAAAATTGAAATAAAATACAAGGGTCAACTCAGATGGTCCGTGTAGCCATTTTGTTAGCTATTTAGTTAGCTATTTAGCAGTCTCATGGCTTGGGGATTGAAGCTGTTCAGGAGCCTCTTGGTGTCAGACTTGATGCACCGGTGGTTGGAGTATTTAACGATTTTCTGGGTCTTCCTTTCACACGGCCTGATATAGAGGTCCTGGATGGCAGGGAGCTCGGCCCCAGTGATATACTAGGCTGTCCGCACCACCCTCTGTAGCACCATGCGACCGAGGGTGGTGCTATTGCCATATCAAGCAGTGATCCAGCCAGTCAAGATGCTCTCAGTGGTACAGCTATATAACTTTTTTGAGGATTTGATTGCCCATACCAAACCTTTTTAACCTCCTGAGGGGGAAGAGGCGCTGTGTGTATGTGGACCATTTTACAGTGCCTTCTGAAAGTATTCAGACCCCTTGACTTTTTCCACATTTTGTTACATTACAGCCTTATTCTAAAATTGATTTAATTGTTTTTTTTCCTCATCAATCTACACACAATATCCCATAATGACAAACCAAAAATAGGTTTTTAGAAATGTTTGCTAATTTATAAAAAAGAAATAACTGAAATGTCACATTTACATAAGTATTCAGACCCTTTACTCAGTACTTTGTTGAAGCACCTTTGGCAGCGATTACAGCATTGAGTCTTCTTGGGTATGACGCTACATACTTGGCACACCTGTATTTGGGGAGTTTCTTCCATTCTTCTCTGCAGATCCTCTCAAGCTGTCAGGTTGAATGGGGAATGTTGCTGCACAGCTATTTTCAGGTCTCTCCAGAGATGTTTGATTGGGTTCAAGTCCGGACTCTGGCTGGGCCACTCAAGGACATTCAGAGACTTGTCCCGAAGCCACTCCTGCGTTGTCTTGGCTGTGTGCTTAGGGTCGTTGTCCTTTTGGAAGGTGAACCTTCACCCTAGTCTGAGGTTCCTGAGCGGTCTGGAGAAGGTTTTCATTAAGGATCTTTTCTCTGTTCATTCTGACTAGTCTCCCAGTCCCTGCCGCTGAAAAACATCCCCAGAGCATGATGCTGCCACCACCATGCTTCACTGTAGGGATGATGCCAAGTTTCCTCCACACGTGACGCTTGGCATTCAGGCCAAAGAGTTCAATCTTGGTTTCATCAGACCAGAGAATCTTCTTTCTCATGGTCTGAGAGTCTTTAGGTGCCTTAAGGCAAACTCCAAGCGGGCTGTCATGTGTTTTTTACTGAGGAGTGGCTTCCTTCTGGCCTCTCTAACATAAAGGCCTGATTGGTGGAGTGATGCAGAGATGGTTGTCCTTCTGGAAGGTTCTCCCATCTCCACAGAGGAACTCCGGAGCTCTGTCAGAGTGACCATCAGGTTCTTGGTCACCTCCCTGACCAAGGCCCTTCTCCCCCGATTGCTCAGTTTGGCCGGGCGGCCAGCTCTAGCAAGAGTCTTGGTGGTTCCAAACATCTTCCATTTAAGAATGATGGACGCCACCGTGTTCTTGGGGACCTTCAATGCTGCAGACATTTTTTGGTACCCTTCCCCAGATCTGTGCCTCGACACAATCCTGTCTCGGAGCTCTACGGACAATTCCTTCGACCTCATGGCTTGGTTTTTGCTCTGACATGCACTGTCAACTGTGGGACCTTATATAGACAGGTGTGTGCCTTTCCAAATCATGTCCAATCAATTGAATTTACCACAGGTGGACTCCAATCAAGTTGTTGAAACATCTCAAGGATGATCAATGGAAACAGGATGCACCTGAGCTCAATTTTGAGTCTCATAGCAAAGTGGCTGAATACTTATGTAAATATGGTATTTTTGTTTTTTATTTTTATTATGCTTTGTCATTATGGGGTATTGTGTGTAGATTGTTGAGGATTTTTGTTTATTTAATTTAATTTTAGAATAAGGCTGTAACGTAACAAAATGTGGAAAAAGACAAGGGGTCTGAATACTTTCCGAAGGCACTGTAAGTCCTTAATGATTTGGACACCGAGGAACTTGAAGCTCTCGACCTGTTCCACTGCAACCCGTCGATGTGGATGGGGGCATGCTCACCCCTCCGTTTCCTGTAGTCCATGATCAGCTCCTTGGTCTTACTGATGTTGAGGGAGAAGTTGTTGTTCTGGCACCATACTGCCAGGTCACTGACCTCCTCCATGTAGGCTGTCTCATCGTCGCCTGTGATCAGGCCTACCACCGTTGTGATTGCATCGTCTATGGATCTGTTGGGGCGGTATGCAAATTGCAGTGTGTCTAGGGTGTCTGGGATGATGGATTTGATGTGTGCCATAACCAGCCTCTCAAAGCACTTCATGATTACAAATGTGAGTGTTACAGGGAGGTAGTCATTGTGGCATGAAGCCTTAGAGTTCTTGGGAACAGGAATGATGGTGGACATCTTAAAACGTGGAGATTACAGACTGGGACAAGGAGAGGTAGAAAATTACCGTGAATATGCACACCAGCTGTTCTGCGCATGCTCTGAGAAGGCTCCCTGGAATACTGTTGGGCCCCGCAGCCTTACGGGTGTTGATGTGATTAAAGATTTTACTCACGTTGGCCTCGGAGAGTGAGATTACCCAGTCCTCTGGGTCGGTGGCAGCCCTAACACTCGGCACGAGGTTGTTATTGTCGAGCATGCATAAAATGTATTGAGTTCGTCTGGTAGAGGCATCATTGGGCAGATCACGGCTGGGTCGTCCTTTGTAATCCGTAATGGACTGTAGCTCCTGCCACATGCGACGGGTGGCGAAGCCTATGTAATATGATTCCATCTTATTCCTATATTGTCCTTTTGCTCGTTTGATGACTCTGCGGAGGTCGTAGCGGGACTGCTTGTACTTGTTCCTGTCCTCAACCGTAGCCTCGGGGTTGTCTGCAATAGCCCTATGTGCGGTAGCCCTGTCCTTTAGTTTAGCGCCAACCTCTGTGTTAATCCAGGCCTTTTGATATGGGAAGCAGCGAACCTTTACTGTGGGGACAACGTCACAGATGCATTTCCTAATGAAGCTGATTACAGAGGTGGTTAGCTTGTCAATGTTATTGGCGAGTCGCGAAACATATTCCAATCAGCGCTAGCAAAGCAGTCCTGTAGCATAACCTCTGATTCTGGTGACCATTTCTCAACAGAGCAAGTCACGGGTACTTCCAGTTTGAGCTTCTGCTTGTAAACAGAAAGCAGGAGTACGGAGTCATGATGTGATTTGCTGAATAGCGGACGAGGGAGGGCCTTGTATGCTTTCTTGTGGGTAGAATAACAGTGGTCTAGGACTTCACCACCCTAGTGGTGAAGGATACATGTTTATGGAAGTTAGGCATCTTTTGTCTTAATGACGCTGAGTTAAAATCACCGGCAACCAGAAAAGCAGCCTCCAGATGTACGTTTTCCTGCTTGTTTATAGCCTCGTACAGTTCGTTAAGTGCCAGCTTGTTATTTTTCTTGTCCTGAGGTGGAAAGTATACAACAGTCACGATAACAGCTGAAAAATCCCTCTGGAGAAAAAAGGGTCGGAATTTGACCATCAGGTATTCCAAGACGGGTGAACAATGGGTCGACACTTCCACCACGCTTGAGTCAGCACACCAGTTGTTGATGAAGAGGCAAACCCCTCCCCTTCTCGATCTCTCTGACTCCACTGTCCTGTCAGCACTTGAATGGAGAATCCATCGAGTTGGATAGCCATGGGGGGTATCTTGTCCGAGAGCCATGTTTCAGAAAAGCAGAGAATATTGCAGTGTCGAGAGTCCAGTTGGTGGGTTGAAGCTGGTAGACCAAAACCGATAGTAAAAGGCTCAAATTCGAGTCATTCAAAACAAATCTCCCCCATCCCCCGCATCTCATTTCCACGTAACATGGCAGAGACTCGCACATGAGCCTTTTACTTTTGGTTTTGGTCCACTAGCTTCAAACAGCTGTAAAAACTATATTTGTTGTTATTGAAAATATATTCCACAGCGATTTAGATGGTACAATGATTCCCTACAATATTCAGTACTTGTTTTCTCTCATAAACTGAAATTCAGCGAACAGTGTAGAATCTTTGCAACCACGAAATGACAGAGCGATTTCCACTAGATAACACAGCCACAAAGTCAGAACATCTTTCCCATTTTGACAACATGCTCCAGTGGGAGAATCAATAGGCAAATGTCAGCCAATCACAACATTGGTGGGTAAGTAATTCTAAGAAACACTATCATTTCACCATTACTGCAGATATATTATGGACAATTTCTGAAATTAGAATGCAAAAATTCTACAAAAATCGTATGTGTAACACCTTTAAACTGTGCTCACTCTTTTCACCAGTGCTGTGGTCAACCATTATTTGCCAAATATACCACATTTGCTCTATTAGGCCGTACTAGTGCACATGCTAGTGTATAGAAATTGCCAATCCTATGTACCATATTGCTACTTAACTATTACCTGGTAGTTATCTAGGTCATAAAAATGTCATATGGAAAAAGTTATGACACTCCCTTCCCTGCCCTTGTTGTGGCCAATCATTCTGTCTGTATCTTGGTTAGTTATGTAAGTGTATGTGGCAGTATAGTCTCACCCTTGGTGTAGCCAATCTCTGACTTGCTGCGCATCATCGTCCTGGCCCTTTGTTGTCCAGCTGCAGACTGGGTGTGGACAGATCCAGCGTCTATCTCAGTTGGGTCGGACTGGTAGGCGGACAAGTCCTGCATGCTGAAACTTCGCAGTCTATCTGACAGTACTCCTTGGCTCTGGTGTGGGAGACAAAATACATTAACACAATGAATTATCTACAGTGCCCCTCCACTAATATTGGCACCCTTTGTAAACATGAGCAAAACGGGCTGTGACATTTTTTTATTTGCTGTTTATCCTCTTGGTCTTTCATTCAAAACATTCACAAAATCGTAGCTTTAATTGAAGTAAAATGATTGAAAAAAATAAATGTGAAATAAATATTTTTCTCAGAAACATGTGTGCCACAATTATTGACACCCCTAGAAATTCTTATGAGTCTAATCTAACTGAAGTATATTCCCATTCGTATTTTACATTTTTAAGTTCACCTGAGTGATTAGGAACACTTAAGCGGTAAGCCATGACTTCCTGTTTCACTGAGGTATAAATATGAGGTGACACACAGGCCAAGTTCCCATAGTCATCTATTACTATGGGAAAGACCCGAGAATATAGTAATGATTTGCGACAAAAGGTTGTTGAGCTGCACAAATCAGGAAATGGCTATAAGAAAATAGCTCAATGGTTGAAAATGGCCATTTCCACTATCGGCAATAATTAAGAAGTTTAAATTTACATTTACATTTTAGTCATTTAGCAGACGCTCTTATCCAGAGCGACTTACAGTTAGTAAGTGCATCTATTGACCCCACGCACAGTGAGTAGGATGGTTAGAGTGGCCAAAAAATCTCCAAGGATCACAGCTGGAGAATTGCAGACATTAGTTGGGTCTTGGGGTCAGAAAGTCTCCAAAACTACAATCAGACGCCACCTACATAACCACAAGTTGTTTGGGAGGGTTGTTATAAAAAAGCCTTTGCTTTCATCAAACAACAAACTCAAGCGCCTACAGTTTGCCAAACGTTACTGGAACTTTCAATGGGACCAGGTTCTATGGTCAGATGAGATCAAAATATAGCTTTTTGGAAACAAACACCAGAGGTGGGTTTGGCGTAGACAGAAAGATAGCCATGCAGAAAAGTACCTCATCCTCACTGTGAAGTACGGTGGTGGATCTTTGAAGTTGTTGGGCTGTTTTTCTTCCAAAGGTCCTGGACTCCATCAAGTACCAGCAGATATTATATCAAAATCTGACTGCCTCTGCTAGGAAGCTTAAACTGGGCCGTGGTTGGATCTTCCAGCAGGACAATGATCCAAAGCACACCTCAAAATCAACACAAAAATGGTTCACTGACCATAGAATCATGGTTTTTCCATGGCCATCCCAGTCCCCTGACCTAAACCCCATAGAAAACCTGTGGGATGAGCTGAAGAGGAGAGTCCACAAGTGTGGACCTCGGAATCTGAAGGATCTGGAGTGATTCTGTAAGGAGGAATGGTCTGAGATCCCTTGCCATGTGTTCTCCAACCTCCTTACGCATTATAGGAGAAGACTCAGCGCTGTTATCTTGGCACACATATAATTGAGAAAAATATTTGATTTATAATAAGAATTTATTTTTTCTTGCAATTATTTTACTTTAATTAAAGGTTAGATATTTGTGAATATTTTGAATGAAAGACCAAGAGGATAAACAATTTTTTAAAAATTGTTCACAGACCGTTTTGCTCATATTTACTAAGGGTGTCAATATTAGTGGAGGGCACTGTATATGAATAGAGAAAAACATAACTTCACCCCACCCAGGACAAATCAGAAATTCAAAGAGTCAGCATTACCTTTGTCGCAGCCAGGACTGCAGCTGTGGCTGCCACATTCAAACCTTTCCTCCCAAAAGTCACCAGAGTGTCATAGCTTTTGTCCTTTGCTTGGCAGAGATAGTCATCAATGTCCTGGACAGACGGAAAAACACACACATATTACAGTAACTGTCTTTTTCTTGGCAGGTCATGTGATAAACACATTCCTAGGTTTGATGTACTGTATGTAAACAATTGTCACATCTCCTCCCGTTGCTCTGATTCGCCGGTCTACTGAGCCACCGGTCTGACTGCACCACCTCGGCAACACCGGAATGGAAACCCAATGCACCCTAATCACCTCCAGCGCACCTGCACCTCATCATCTCATCACCACCCCTATATAGCCCTGGACTGTTCAGTGTTGAGTTGTGTGTGATTGTTAGTGTCTTGTTGTGTACTCGCTCTTTGTTGTTCTCTTGCTCAGTGTTAAATAAACCTTTACATTGTTGATTCCTGTGTCTGCGTCCTGCCTCTTCGTATCCTCAGTACTCATCACAGAATCACACACCAATCACGAAGATGGATGCAGCAGGTAATCCTCCTGGAGTTTCCCAGCTCCTCAACCAGCACCAGCAGCAGATTGCCCAGCTGAACGCCGTCATGCAGGAAGTGCTCCAAACGCTGCATAAACTGACCATCGCTCCGGTTCCACCTCAGGGAGCGGCGAGTGCACCCAGTCCACCTCCTCCCGTGCTATCACCAACGTATGAGGGACCCCTCGCCCTGCCAGAGCGCTATGACGGGAAAACGACTAAATGTAGAGGCTTCCTGCTACAGGTTTCACTGTATCTGGCGTGTCAGTGTGGGGCATCTCCATCGGACCAAGCCAGGATAGCGCTGGTGATTTCGCTACTGAAGGGAAAGGCGCTGGATTGGGCCACTGCAGTCTGGGAAGGAGGTGAGGCCGCGGCGCTTCCCTACTCCACCTTCCTCGCTCGGTTCAGGGCGGTGTACGATCATCCCAAGGAGGGAAAGGACGGGGGTGAGCGTCTCCTCCGGCTACAACAGGGAGAGGGGGCCGCGTTCGAGTACGCCCTGAGCTTTCGCACGGTTGCGGCCTCTTCTGGCTGGAATGAGCGTGCTCTGCACATGGCCTTCAGGAGAGGCTTACGGGAGGACATCATGATGGAACTCGCATGTCGGGATGACGAGATGGACCTTGATACCCTCATCGCCACGTCCATTCGTCTTGACGACATGTTGAGAGACCGACGGCGTTCCCAACACCACCCGGAGCCTCGGCGCTCACCCCATCTGAGCTATGGAAGCTGCCCTGCCTCCGAGTCCTCACCCATGGAGGTGGGCAGCACCCCCTACACCACCACGGACCACAGATCTCCTGGCGGCTCCCTATCTAGGCGGTCTGACTCCCGTCGCCGCTCCGTGAGTGTTCCGTCATCACCTGTCACCAAACCATTGTTTTTAGTTCCCCTAATGGTGAATGGTTCTTCCTTCTCTTCGCTTTCCACAGCAATTATAGATTCTGGATCAGCAGGGAACCTTATAGATAGGGAGCTGGTCTCTGAATAGGGGTTGCCCACCATGCTACTGCCTTCTCCGCTACATGTCACCTCTATGGACAATAAACCACTTGGATCAGGCACCATTACGCACGTCACTCTCTCATTCACCATCACCATCACCATTCCCACACTACCGGAGCACCACGAGGAGCTGTCCTTCCACATCGTCACGTCACCCCTTCACCGGATCGTCTTGGGATTGCCCTGGCTCAGACTACACAACCCCACCATCAATTGGATCACCAAGAGGATCACAGCCTGGTCCTCCTCATGCCGGAGGACCTGCCTTCCGGTGGTTTGTTGTTTCACGTCAGTGGAGAGTCTGGAGTCCGCCCTCTAGCCCAACATTTCACGTGAGTACGCAGATCTCTCCGATGTCTTCTCTGCCTCCAAGGCTAAGTGTCTCCCTCCTCACAGGCCCTGGGACTGCGCCATTGACCTGCTGGAGGGACAACATCCCTCAAAGAATCGCATTTAGTCCCTCTCCATAGCGTAGACTGAGGCCATGGAGAAGTATGTGGCAGAGACCCTGAAACAGGGGTTCATCAGACGCTCTCCTCTCCTGCCTCCGCCAGCTTCTTCTTCGTGGCCAAAAAAGACGGAGGACTGAGGCCGTGCATTGACTACCGGGGGCTGAACGCAGTCACCACCAAGTACCGGTACCCCCTCCCTCTGGTTCCGTCGGCCATCGAGCAGCTGCGAAGGGCCCGGTAATTTACCAAGTTGGACCTGAGGAGTGCCTACAACCTGATCCGAATCCGGGAAGGAGACGAGTGGAAGACGGCATTCAGCACTACCTCAGGCCACTATGAACACTGTGTCATGCCCTACGGCCTCGCCAACACACCTTCCGTGTTCCAATCCTTCGTCAATGACGTGTTCCGAGACATGCTGAGTAGACAGGTGGTGGTGTACATCGACGATATCCTGATCTACTCGGCTACGTTCGAGGAGCACGTCAGGGACGTCAGAGTGGTCCTACTCCACCTCCGGGAACACAGCCTGTTGGTGAAGGGGGAGAAATGTGAATTCCACCAACAGGCCATCTCCTTCCTGGGATACAGGATCAGTCCTCGGGGTGTTCATGGAAAGAACGAAGACGGACGCCGTCAGGTCATGGCCAGTCTCCACCACCATCAAGGGCCTACAGAGCTTCCTTGGCTTCGCACATTTCTATCGCCGTTTCATCAGGTCCTTCAGCTCCATAGCCACCCGCTCACCTCTCTCCTTAAGGGGGGGCCTCAGAAGCTGGCCTGGAACCCTGAGGCTGATGCTGTCTTCAAGAGGCTGAAGGAGAGGTTCACCACAGCGCCCCTCCTAAAACACCCAGTTCCAGCTCGTCCTTTCCTCCTGGAGGTGGACGCATCTGAGGAGGGTGTGGGTGGGGTCCTCTCCCAGCGGCAAGGTAAGCCAGAGAATATGTATCCCTGTGCCTTTTTCTTGAAAAAGCTTACCCCCGCAGAGAGGAACTATGGAGTTGGAGACAGGGAGCTGTTGGCCGTGGTCCTCGCTCTGGAGGAATGGAGACACTGGCTGGAGGACGCAGTCCATCCATTCCGGATTCTCACTGACCACCGGAATTTGGAGCACATACGGGCAGCGAAACGGATGAACTCTCGTCAAGCCAGGCGGGCCCAGTTTCTTACTCGCTCTCAGTTTATTCTGTCCTACCGCCCAGGATCCCAGAATGTGAAAGCCGATGCACTCTCCAGGATGCACCATACCGGAGAAAGGAAGGATCTGGGGGTCCTATCCTGCCTCCGTCTCTCATCGTGGCACCTGTCGTTTGAGATGTGGATGAAGACATCCGCCTGGCGGCACAGGAGGACCCAGCACCTGCCAACGCCCCTCCGGGGCACGTGTTTGTACCCACCAGGGTCCGTAACCGCCTGCTGATCTGGGCGCACACCATCCTTATGGCAGGGCACTCCGGTATGACGCGCACCCTACATTCTCTCTCACAAAAATACTGGTGGCCCACCTTGGCTAATGATGTCTCCCGCTATATCAACTCCTGTTCTGTATGTGCCAAAACGAAGACACCTCGGAACGCACCGGCAGGTAAACTAGTTCCTCTCCCAGTGCCTCAGCGACCTTGGTCACACCTGTCCATAGACTTTGTCACCGACCTCCCACATTCTGACGGCTTTACCACAGTCCTGGTGGTCGTAGACCGGTTCTCCAAATCATGCAGTTTTTTGCCACTAACTGGTCTTCCTTCTGCTCTCCAGGTCGCTGAGGTCCTATTCCAACAGATCTTCTGGCATTATGGACTTCCGGAGGACATCGTCTTGGACCGTGGCCCCCAATTCACCTCCCAAGTGTGGAAGGCTTTCCTGGAGAAGATCGGGTCCATGGCCAGCCTCACTTCCGGGTATAGGCATCAGACGAATGGGCAGGTGGAGTGCATGAACCAGGAGCTGGGGAGGTTTCTTCGTTGCCACTGTCAGGACCGGCAGGGTGAGTGGGCAAGGTTTCTTCCCTGGGCAGAATATGCCCAGAACTCCCTCGTTTACTCCTCCACGGGGCTCACTCCCTTCCAGTGCGTCCTGGGGTACCAGCCGGCCCTGGCCCCTTGGACACCCAGCCAGACTGATGCGACCGCTGTGGACGAGTGGTTCCGCAGGGCCGGACAGGTCTGGGACGCCGCCCATGTCCATCTCCAGAGGGCCATTCATCGGCAGAAGGACCAAGCCGACCGCCACCGCGGTGTGGCCCCCGTATTCCAGCCTGGGGATCGTGTCTGGCTGTCCACCAAAAACCTCCCTCTCCGCCTGCTCTGCAAGAAACTGAGCCCCTGGTTTGTGGGGCTGTTTAAGGTCCTTCGGCGGATAAATTAGGTATTGTACCGGCTGCTCCTTCCCCCTCACTACTGTGTCTCATCCACTTTTCAAGTGTCTCCTCAGGCCGGTGGTTCCTGGTCCTCTGACGGATGCCGTCCCCCGGGGTTCGCCCCCTCCGCCCCTGGACATTGACGGGAGTCCGGCGTATGAGGTGAGGGACCTGCTGGACTCCAGGTTCCGTGGGGGACGGCTCCGTTACCTGGTGGACTGGGTGGGGTATGGTCCTGAGGAGAGGAGCTGGGTTCCGGCTGGGGACGTTCTCGACCCCAACCTAATTTGGGTCGTTGTCCTGGCTGGCGACGTCCTGCGGCGGGAGCCACACGTCCTGGGGGGGGGGGTTACTGTCACGTCTCCTCCCGTTTCTCCCCTCCGGTGCTCTGATTCGCCAGTCTACTGAGCCACCGATCTGAGCGCACCACTTCGGCAACACCGGAATGGAAACCCAACGCACCCTAACCACCTCCAGCGCACCTGCTCCTCATCATCTCATCACCACCCCTATATTGCTCTGGACTGTTCAGTGTTGTGTTGTGTGTGATTGTTAGTGTCTTGTCGTGTACTCGCTCTTTGTTGTTCTCTTGCTCAGTGTTAAGTAAATCTTTACATTGTTGATTCCTGCGTCTGCGTCCTGCCTCTTCGTATCTTCAGTACTCGTCACAACAATACATTTTGTAACTATTTGATAATTAATATGGTCTTGTGATTGCTGTTTAGCAACGCACATGTTTTTTCATGCATAAAGAAAGAGTGGACATGTTCATTGTCTTTTAGAATCAGAATTATTGTTTATTTTCATCTGACACTGGATCCCTCTGTTGATCCCCTCTCTAATCTGACGAGTTTTCTGACCACAAAATAAAGTGAAAAGGAACAGAAGGAAAAACCATGCCGTTTCTTATGCCCATCCAGCCAAAACATTGCCAGCTAAGAAAATGTCATCCAACTTCTTCCTTGGATAATTGATCACAGCAAACCCTGTGCCGTTAAAATGTTTAGTAGAGCATATAAAGCATTTTTTACATTGAAGACACTTTATAATACATTTCAAGAGGACAATGAAAACTGGACTAATGCACAGGCCTCACCTTCTCTTTTGAAGAAAGTGTTGGGTGAACAAACTTCTTGTATAGAACACTGGACCCCTTTGTGTAGGGAGACAGTAACCATAACACAAAGGCAATCTTCAGCTCATAATATAAAGGAACCCTACAGTGAAGGGAAGAATAATACAGTGACCATTTAGAGCATTCATAAAATCTATACTCTCCATTACAATAGCATCATCAGTCTTATGACTATCCTGCTGTAGGCCGATGTTATGTGACTGTGTACTATTTCAGAACAATATTTCGGTGAAGTGAAATAATACTATACATAAACAAAACAGATATTTTATAATACACCATTTACTTACCAACAGATAAATATATCTGTGATGGTTTCCATGGTGGTGAACAGTGCAAATATTATCCAGTACATCATCCACTTTACCTTTAAAAGCAGAATAACTCTCAGTCTGGCACATAATAGTTCAGAAATATTAAACTAAATTGTTTAAATCCTGTTTTAAAGCTGCAATATGTCATTTGTTGGGGGACCCCACAAAATTCACAGAAATGTGAGTTGTAGATCTGTCATTCTCATTGAAAGCAAGTCTAAGAAGCGGTAGATATGTTCTATGTGTGCTATTTCTATGCTCCCCGTTTTTAGGATTTGTTTTTGCATCTTTTACTTTTGGTTTTGTACACCAGATTCAAACAGCTGAAAATATTTTTGGTTATGGAAAATAAATTTCACTGCGATTTAGATAGTACAATGATTCTCTACACTATACTTGCTTGTTTTGTCACATAAACTGAAATTAGGTGAACTATTAGAATTTTAGCAACCAGGAAATGGCGGAGCGATTTCTGCATAGTGCATCTTTAAGTAATTCAGTCCAATAGTTGGCTGGGTCTGTGAAACTGGCCCATAATGTGTAATCTACACAGACTGACTCAATATGGCATGTTACTGTTTGGTTTAATTTTCACTTTTTTCAGACTGCTGCTCATACTCACATATTCCTTCACATCCTTTGATTTGACAGCTTTGTATGAGTAGTATGCAGGATATAATGTGCCAAATATAAGCCTGGAAAACATCAAACATGTCATAAGCCTATGCAATAAATGTTTTCCCAGCACATCCACACACATTTATGAGGATAAAAGCAAATAAAACGCAGTAAAGTGGAAACAGTCCAAAGTACAGCAACTGACAGCAGTTCACAACTGAATTGTCACATCATCAAAAAACAAACATCTGTTTTTTATAATTTTGATATGCTACATTATCCTCTGGGTATTGGGTTTATTATTAATTTACTTTGTTAAAACTGTTTTAGATTTTATAATTAATGTTGACATAAAAAAACAATAATACATCAACAGGGAGTAACTATTTGCGCCTTTCCTTTGCGCCACGTCCCATTGACATCAATGAGGCCTCCGCGAAACTCCGAGTTTCAAGGGCTCAAGTAATTCCAACTCCGCCCATATTGTTGAATGTTATTGATATGAAGAAACTAATATTTTCAACAACAATCAAAAACAAATAACTAAACTGACATCAGAGCTCATCTAAAATCTGACAGATTAAACAGGGACACGAGGACTCTTGGCCTACCCATGTGCGACTGTATAACTCTCAGACAGGACCCCTTGAAGCAACAGTCCAGCAACAGCTGGGGGTGTGACCTGCTCAAATTACTGACCTGTGACCTACATATGCACACACCGGGTTGTCCTGTAGAAAACAATGCCAAATACATAAGGTCACTCAAAACAAAAACGTATTCAGTGTTTCTGCTCAAGACCTCAGAACAACAAACATCTATTGTTGGATAGGCTATAGAGCTTTGAATGCCAAGACAGCCAGAAGACACTTGCTGCCCCTCACGTCTGAAACAGCAATGTAATATGATATTATAATCTAAATTTTATTGACGTGCTATTTTGAGATTTGTTTTAGGCCTACTCCAAGCCCATATGTTGTGAACACGTTTAATAATTTATCCATATTACAACACAATACGAATGGCCAGTGGAGCCTAGAATGTTGCTTCCATAGTTGAATGTGCTTAAATATTCGGATGACTATAATTATCAGAACATATTGCAATGAAGTCTATAATTATATGCAACACTTGCATTGTAACCTGAGAAGGTTGACCCATTCCAAATAAAGAATATAAAGTATCATAAAATTGCTCCGCTCACCACTGCTCTGTGTTTTGGGCATTTTATTCAGTCAACTTTGCATTTAGGCCTACTGCATGACATATCGATGGCAAAATTATTTTTGTTTTATTATTTCCATTGCTCTGAATGAGCAGACATATATCAATAAAAATATACATATTTAATTTGGCCAATCGTCATTCTTTGTCTGGAATGGAAAGAAAACGCATGTAAATACATAAGAGAACATATCATCGACCCATTGAATGTGATATAGAACCCATTCTTTCAGTAAGGAATAACATTTCAATCATAAACAGAGCACAACATTCTGTCTCGTCTCAAACCCCCGAGTCACTGTCTCTGCTTAGAAATAAGAGGTGTCCTAAATAGGCTATAAAGCGGCCACTGCTGACATGCACCTTGTGTCACTGAAAACCCCCCGCAGATTTATCGTAAACGGCATTATCTCGAGGTGGGCTATTTTAGAAAGAATAAAGAATGTGATAAAAATAACTTACACCACAATTCTAGAGATTATCCAAGAGACCATTGCGCTGAGGAGGCGACAGAACGTGCTGTCAACAGGGAGGAGTTTCCTTCTTGAGCGTTGGCAGTTGCCATTTGACAGCAGCGTCAGCGAGTGGCAACCAAGGCGTCAAACGCTGCGCCGCACCCAGATATGAACGTGATACAGAGTGAACAGCTGTGAGTCTACTGAAATGATCATGTCATTGGCCTACCTATCTAATATTGTTTATACGTATACTGAACAAAAATATAAACGCAACATGTAAAGTGTTGGTTCCATGTTTCACGAGCTGAAATAAAAGATCCCAGAACTTTTCCATATGCACAAAAAGCTTATTTCTCTAAAATGTTGTGCCACCAATTTGTTTACATCCTCATTAGTGAGCATTTCTCCTTTGCCAATATATTCCATCCACCTGACAGGTGTGGCATATCAAGAAGCTGATTAAACAGCATGATCATTACAGAGGTGCACCTTGTGCTGGGACAATAAAAGGCCACTCAAAAATGAGCACACAACACAATGCCACAATGTCTCAAGTTTTGAGGGAGCATACAATTGGCATGCTCACTGCAGGAATGTCCACCAGAGCTATTGCCAGAGAATTGAATGTTAATTTCTCTAACGTACAGCGCATTCAGAAAGTATTCAGACCCATTACTTTTTTTCCACATTTTGTTACGTTACAACCTTATTCTAAAATTGAGTAAATAAATACAAATCTTCATCGATCTACACACATTACCCCATTATGACAAAGCGAAAACAGGTTTTTCGAAATTTTAGCAAATGTATACAAAATAAAAAACAGAAATACCTTATTTATATAAGTATACAGACCCTTTGCTATGAGACTCGAAATTGAGCTCAGGTGCATCCTGTTTCCATTGATCATCCTTGAGATGTTTCTACAACTTGATTGGAGTCCACCTGTGGTAAATTCAATTGATTGGACATGATTTGGAAAGGCACACACCTGTCTATATAAGGTCCCACAGTTGACAGTGCATGTCAGAGCAAAAACCAAGCCATGAGGTTGAAGGAATTGTCCGTAGAGCTCCGAGACAGGATTGTGTCGAGGCACAGATCTGGGGAAGGGTACCAAAAAATCATTCTTAAATGGAAGAAGTTTGGAACCACCAAAACTCTTCCTAGAGCTGGCCGCCCAGCCAAACTGAGCAATCGGGGGAAAAGGGCCTTGGTCAGGGAGGTGACCAAGAACCCGATGGTCACTCTGACAGAGGTCCAGAGTTCCTCTGTGGAGATGGGAGAAACTTCCAGAAGGACAACCATCTCTGCAGCACTCCACCAATCAGGCCTTTATGGTAGAGTGGCCAGATGGAAGCCACTCCTCAGTAAAAGACACATGACAGCCCACTTAGTTTGCCAAAAGGCACCTAAAGGACTCAGACCATGAGAAACAAGATTCTCTGTTCTGATGAAAGGAAGATTGAACTCTTTGGCCTGAATGCCTCACGTCTGGAGGAAACCTGGCACCATCCCTACGGTGAAGCATGGTGGTGGCAGCATCATGCTGTGGGGATGTTTTTCAGCAGCAGGGACTGGGAGACTAGTCAGGATCGAGGGAAAGATGAACGGAGCAAAGTACAGAGAGATCCTTGTGCAGCGACGCTCCCCATCCAACCTGACAGAGCTTGAGAGGCTCTGCAGAGAAGAATGGGAGTAACTCCCCAAATACAGGTGTGCCAAGCTTGTAGCGTCATACCCAAGAAGACTCAAGGCTGTAATCGCTGCCAAAGGTGCTTCAACAAAGTACTGAGTAAAGGGTCTGAATACTTATGTAAATGTGATATTTCCATTATTTATTTTTTATACATTTGCAAAAAATTCTAAAAACCTGTTTTTGCTTTGTCATTGTGGGGTATTGGGTGTAGATTGATGAGGGGAAAAAACAATTTAATACATTTTAGAGAATAAGGCTGTAACATAACAAAATGTGGAAAAAGTCAAGGGGTCTTAATACTTTCCGAATGCACTGTAAGCCGCCTCCAACGTCGTTTTAGAGAATATGGCAGTACGTCCAAACGGCCTCACAACCGCAGACCATGTGTAACCACGCCTGCCCAGGACCTCCACATCAGTGTTTTTCACCTGCCGGATCGATTTAGACCAGCCACCTGGACAGCTGCTGAAACTGTGGGTTTGCACAACAAAATAATTTCTGCACAAACTGTCAGAAACCATCTTAGGGAAGCTCATCTGCGTGCTCGTTGTTCTCACCAGGGTCTTGACCTGACTGCAGGTTGGCGTCGTAACCGACTTCAGTGGGCAAATACTCACCTTTGATGGCCACTGACATGCTGGAGAAGTGTGCTCTTCACGGATGAATCCCAGTTTCAACTGTATGGCGTCGTGTGGGCGAGCGGAATGCTGATGTCAACGTTGTGAACAGAGTGCCCCATGATGGCGGTGAAGTTATGGTATGGGCAAGCATAAGCTACGGACAACGAACACAATTGCATTTCATCGATGGCAATTTAAATGCAGAAATACCGTGATGAGATCCTGAGACCCATTGTCGTGCCATTCATCCGCCACCATCACCTCATGTTTCAGCATGATAATGCACAGCCCCATGTCGCAAGGTTCTGTACACAATTAACGGAAGCTGAAAATGTCCCAGTTCTTCAATGGCCTGCATACTCACCAGATATGTACCCAATGAGCATGTTTGGGATGCTCTGGATCGTCTTGTACGACAGCGTGTTCCAGTTCCTGCCAATATCCAGCAACTTCGCACAGTCATTGAAGACAACATTCCACAGGCCACAATCAACAGCCTGATCAACTCTATGCGAAGGATATGTGTTGCGCTGCATGAGGCAAATAGTGGTCACCCCAGATACTGACTGGTTTTCTGATCCACGCCCCTACCTTTTCTGTGACCAACAGATGCATGTCTGTCAGATGCATGTCTGCAATCCATAGATTAGGGCCTAATTAATTTTTCAATTGACTGATTTCCTTAAATGAACTGTAACTGTGTAAAATCTTTGATATTGTTGCATGTTGCATTTATATTTTTGTTCAGTGTATAAAGAATGTTTTAAATGGTGATTAAGTATTAAGATTGTTAGGTTGTAATAATTAAATCACCAATATCACCTCGGTTAATAAGCCTATTACAGAGAAGGTCTGGAACTAAAAACAAACAAGTGAGCAGGCCAGGTAGTCTGGATTAAACATGTTGTAAAAGTATGGCAAACACCTGTAAATGCTCAGTTTCAGAAACAAACAAAATTAAAGAAAAAATTAACTGCCATTAGCTGATGCTTGTAATCTTGGGAGTTTTTCCTAAAACATAATTGACAGCTACTGTCCTTTTTTGACTGGTAACCTACATATCAACAGTCAGAGGACATAGATAGGGTTTGGTTACATTACACAAAGGCTGCCGAGGGAGGGCTGTGGCTGGTAGAAAGATAATCCCGTTGTCCATATTAGAAACCAAGGGATAAGCACCCCAGAGAAAATAATCTCCCTCCTGAATGTGTTTTCACAGATGTTGCTCTTCCCCATAAAAATAAAGCAATAAAAGTAGTGACCTACCAACCGAACCAGACACACGTCAACTTTTTCCTTTCATCTTACTCCTCTATTTTCCTTATCTTTCAGGTCACATTCAATTATGGAGAGGCCAGACAACAGTAAAATTAATTATGTTAATTTCCTGCACACATAAAAAAACTAAAGTGTGCACAGAAAAAAACATCCCATAACACACAGGGTCTGAAACTAAACTAACAAATCATTTTTTATTTTTTACTGAATAAGCACAACAAATTATTAGGACTTTTGAGGCCAACAATATACAGTTAAAGAAGCTGGATCTCAATGTAAAAAATCTGTTAGACCATTTTGCGTGCATTCTTTATCCCTCCAAACAACTTTATATAAGACAACATAATATAGATACATATGTACTATACAGAGACAAACTACCAAAAGAAGTTCACTATTCAGTTCTAGTGTTTCAGGTGCTGAAAGTGAATGAAATATATTGTATAAAATGTAATATATTGTATCAAATTTGGAACTAGATCAGAGTAGTGATGGATTAAAGTTTCATGAACTTCATGGATTAAAGTTTCATGAACACTTAAATGTGATGAGTCACTCATTTAATTTCTCAATGTAGAGCAAGACGTTTCCATTACAGATTAGATATGTCAGTGACCGGCTCAGAGTAAAAGTCTCTAATCCACCCAATTGGAGGAGCCTCGACTTCCCCAAATACAAGACCAAAAGAATCAGACCACACTCAGCTCTTTAGATACGGATGGGTCCTTCTTATTTTCAGCTATCATGAGAGCCCACTGTAGCTCAGTTGGTAGAGCATGGTGTTTGCAACGCCAGGGTTGTGGGTTCGATTCCCATGGGGGGCCAGTATGATTTTTTTTTTTTATGTCACACCACACATCGAGTGATTTCTGGGCTTCCCCAGTTTGTGTAAAATCATAAAATCCCCCTTTCATAAGAACAGATCTGATGTGTTATTTAGCCCTAAGCATTGAAAAGTTCTCAGCCCAAAATAATAATGTGAAAGAAAGAGACAAAATGTAGTTGAGAAGAGACTAGGTAAACCGTACATCAAAATTGACCTTGTACATCCTTGGGCAGGCAAAAGGGCTTTAAGGGGACAGAAAGAGGTCAAGAGGTCAATCTTAGCTCCTTAAGGCTGCCAGTCTAGAATGCATCTCCTCAATGTCCTCCTCCGAATCATCCTCTGCGGCTGCGGCAGGAGGCTCCATTTCAGGCAAGGCGTCGGTGACTTTGCTGGGTGCTTTGCCAAGGGCACCTGATATGGAACAAACCACCAGGGGTCAGCATGTACAATATTGTATTTTTTACCCCCGCCAGGCAGGCGATAATTTACAGCCCCAAACAACTTTTTGAGACAAGTTTGATTACCAAGGGACTATCTTTACCTGCTGTGATCTCAAAGAGGATCTTATCAACTTCCGCCTCTGCTGCCTCCTCCATCTCATCGTCATCCTCCATGCTTTCAAAGGTATCCTCCAGCATCTCCTCTATGATACCAGCCTGTGGGACACACACGACACAAACAAGTTATATCAATACTCGAACAGTATTTACTAATCTAAACATGGTTTTTCTTCAATATAAATTCAAACATAGTGCATAGTATTGTATGTTTGTAGCTTCGTATTGTAGCAGTGGTTAAAAAAACTGGATGGCTTCCCTGAGTCTCTCTAGAGACAGCTACACAAATAGAGAAACGGACACAAGTAGTGCTAGACTTATGTTCCCAACAGTCACAAAGTGGCCACAATGAGTCAGCAGATATGCGACTGACCTTCATCATCTCCTTAGACAGCTCCCTCATGGTGCCCTGGATCTCTGGGATCTTTACTAAGCTCTGCATGGCTTTCATGACCTCTGTGCTCTTCTGAAGGGCCCCAGCTACACGCAATACAGCTGGAAAAATAACAGCAGAGTCACACACAACCCCTTCCGATTGTGATATGTAGCATATGACATGTACAGTACATATTCATATTACAGACATAACTTGGCCTGACCACTTGGCTTGACCAGATAAAACTCAGGATCCTACTAGCTTCCAGAGTTACAAAGCATTTCTATTAATTTATCATCAACTGAACTTATGCTGGGTATTTTCAAGACACACTACATGGCCAGAAGTATGTGGACACCTGCTCGTCGAACTCTCATTACAAAATCATGGGCATTAATATGGAGTTGGTCCCACCTTTGTTGCTATAACAGCCTCCACTCTTCTGGGAAGGCTTTCCACAAGATGTTGGAACATTGCTGCGGGGACTTACTTCCATTCAGCCACAAGAGCATTAGTGAGGTCGGGCACTGAGGTTGGCCGATTAGGCCTGGCTCGCTGTCGGCATTCCAATTCATCCCAAAGGTGTTCGATGGGGTTGAGGTTAGGGCTCTGTGCAGGCCAGTCAAGTTCTTCCACACCGATCTCGACAAACCATTTCTGTATGGACCTCGCTTTGTGCACGGTGGCATTGTCATGCTGAAACAGGAAAGGGCCTTCCCCAAACTGTTGCCACAAAGTTGGAAGCACAGAATCATCTAGAATGTCATTGTATGCTGTAGCGTTAAGATTTCCCTTCACTGGAACTAAGGGGCCTAGCCCAAACCATGAAAAACAGCCCCAGACCATTATTCCTCCTCCACCAAACTTTACAGTTGGCACTATGCATTCGGGAAGGTAGTGTTCTCCTGGCATCTGCCAAACCCAGATTTGTCCGTCGGACTGCCAGATGGTCACCGGGGCAGCTCTAGCAGGGCAGAAATGTGACTAACTGACTTGTTGGAAAGGTAGCATCCTATGACGGTGCCACGTTGAAAGTCACTGAGCTCTTCAGTACAGCCATTCTACTGCCAATGTTTTTTCCTATGGAGATTGCATGGCTGTGTGCTCCATTTTATACACCAGTCAGCAACGGGTGTGGCTGAAATAGCCAAATTCACTAATTTGAAGGGGTGTCCACATACATTTGTATATATAGTGTATATTGTATCAGGTGGCACTACATCAGTAGTTTCTTTAACACTCACAAAGCTGGTTCTTCATGCTGAGTAGTACAGAGTTCATTTGGGCTTTGGAGGCATAAAGTTTGCTGACTGCACGCTTCGACTGGATCATCTCTTTTGCAAGAACCACACACACGTCCCTGTGTCCCTTTTTAGCAGCATCTTTAATGGATCTCTTTACCTTCTCCTCCTCCCTCTGAATGTCTGAGATACAAGAGAGGAACAATGAGAAACTGCTAAATAATGTAATATAACATACTGTAATGTATAACATTATGACAGAAGTTTGACAGCAGCTTTCATTTGTGTAGGTTGTCCACCCACTCTGCGGGTGTAAACACGCTTTGGTGATGAAATTTCACTTCCTTATGTTATAAAATACATTTTACCAAGACAAAATTCATGTTCGGAATCGTTCAGTGGGGTCTTTCTCTAACATTTCATTAACAGTATACCCAAAAACTGTTGACAGAGCGGTACAGCTTTCTCGCAGAAACTTTTGAGGATTTTACATGTTCTTCAAAGTCATTTCCTTGGGTCGCAAAAAGAAAAAGTAGCATGACACGAGCTGAATTAAATGTAAAAGGCTTTGAAACTTTTCATGAAATAAAAAGCTTGCGGTACGCTCATTGTTCCGTTGATATTTCACAGAGATATACATTTTTTGGTGATAAATCTTTGAAAAATAACAGGAATTTTGCATGAATATGAAAAGTGTATACTAAAATCTGAAAATACTACATGTCTTGTCTCAAAATCGATATCTATCTTACCTCTATATGTTTTATGTCCTGCGGATTTGAGAAGAAAGATGACGAGTTCAACTGGAAAGTGAGCCTTCATTCTTGCACAGCATCCAGCCTATAACTGACTCGAAGCTGTGCACTTTTACTTTTTTTATTCTCTGGCCTCAGTTGATTTAGTCACCCTAATTTTGGCCATCCAACAAGGGTAAAAACTCCAATAACTTTTGAACGGATTATGATAGAGACATGAGGTTTGGCCCATTGGTTTACTTAGAGGATTATCTACACATATCTAACATAGTATTTTATCCATTGGTCAAAATATGAGATTTTGATTGGACACCCTACTTTGTGTTTATATTGTTATAGTGTATTGAAAATGATTTGCTCTCTGACATTCTTAGAGTAACAAAACAAAGTTGCACTGGACCTCACATAAAATAGACTTGAAGCTCTTCTTCTCACCTCGAATTTGTCTGTCAATCACTCTCATCTCCTTCCTGATTTTGAGCGACCATTCATTTACCTTAAAATGATAGAAAAAAGTGAATTAAGCTTAAACAAAAAAATAGTAAAATATGACATTAATCAGACGTGTGTTATTCACTGTCAAGCTTAAACGAAATGTCGTGTAAACACAGTACATTTGAGACAGAACCCTGAAAATGTACTTTAGATTGTTGGTTTGTTAACATCCGAGGATGGTGCTGACTGCTACCTGCTGCTAGCATGTACTTTAACGTTATCTGAGTAGCTAGCCATAGCATTTTCGGGAATAAAGTTTGTAAAGATACGCTACACATTCTTTCAATACAAGTAGCAAGCACAAGCAAGCACTTAGTTAGCAAGTTAGCTAGCTAACAATCAAACTGAAATGCTAACGTTAGCCAGCTAGCTCAGCAACAGTTGGCTAGCTAACGTAAATTGGCTAATGTTAGGTAGCCAGCTCGTAACGTTAACTGCCTTCGTAAACGTTATCTAGCTAGCTAACGTTACATTAGCTACTTTAAAACACAACGTTATTTCATTCAAGTTGAAATACGACTGAGGAGAGTTATTCAATAAACGCAACACCGTCGCCATACCATAAATTAACAGAGCTAGCTAGCTTCGAATGCATCGTTTGGCTAGCTGTCCTCAACTAGGCAAGCTCGTCGCCCCTCACCAGAAGCCTTTACTTACCAGGTCTTTCGGTGGTTTATCGTGTGTTTTCCCGAACAGTCCCATTTTGATTACAACGTAAACGTTAGCTAACCTAGCTAAGCTGATAATAATACAGAAAACCACAGAAACATTGGCATACACCTTCAATCACTTCCTGATTCCAAGCTACGCCACTTCGCCTCCTAGGCCACGTTCCAACACGTAAACGCAACCTTATTTTCCTGTCTTTTTTCCTTGAATCTAAATGACTGAAACTATGTAGTGCTAAATGCAAAATAATGCTCAAATGGATCAAACTTAATCAATATTTCCAAATGATAAGGTCGTCAATATACTTCAACCAATAGACCCAAAGCATGACATCAGAGATAGGCCTAGCAGATGTAATGTGTTTTGGATCCAACACAGTGGTAGGCTACCTGGTTGCCACTTAAATTGTAGAAGCCGCAGGAACACATATAGCCTAATAACTAGCCTGCGGGAATGTCTACACGGCTCATAAACGTTCAGCACCATGGACAGCTAGCTACACGATGAGCGTGAGCTAAAACAAAGGACTGATCACAGATTCAGCACCATGGCCGCTGAACAGCGCTGAATCCAGGTAGGTCATATGAGTGAAGATTCAGCTCACCTGTGTTGTATTGTGGTTAGGTCCCCTGAAACCTAGAATTGTAGGCTATAAATAAAGGAAAATATTGAAGATCTTTGTAAATACTGCACTCTGACTCTTTGGTATCAGCTTCATACATTGAGCTGCACCTGTTCAATTCCAGTACAGTAGTGTTCTTGAGCGTTGTGATTCGTTTACAGCCTCTTCATAATACTTTGGTATGTATCAACATTGAGGCATGCCTAGGCTTACATATCTGTATCATGATGACATGACACTAGGCCTGTGATCCCTTTGTATATGGAGTGTCAATATTAGGAAGGTGGTCTGCAAAAAAGGGTATTACAGAGGTCAATAGAACTTTTGTTGTTTTTATTGCATTTTGCCTGATGGTAGGATTGCTTCTCATGGCAAATCCACTTGTCCCTACACTAGCAGACCATGCCCTACACTGTCACTCATGACGTAAAGGCAGGTTCCCTTTCAAGGACTTCTAGATTTTTCTCTCATATGGTCTGTCGCACCAATCAAATACACCTTTGGTGACTTGTAACCAATAACAGATAGCAGAGGGCGGGTTTTAAAGGCATTCCAGACTGCTCTTTACAATTGCGCATGTTTGCTTGGATTGCCGGATGGAACTGTAGCCATATAGAGGCTGAGAGAATCCTGTGGACGTCCTGGCTCACTGGGATTAGGTTGAATGAGTTGGCTATAAACAGTTTGCCTTACATAACAGCTAGTAATTCAGTAAGCACTGTGTAAACTAACTCTCAAATTTATGCTAAAAACGAAAGGCATAATTTCAAATAGCCTACAGTCTCGCATAGTGGAGTATTTAATTTTTCTCATCGGAAAGGTGTCAAGTGTCAGTCGTTACGTAGATTAGCGCAAACTAACAGCTACACTCATTATGTCAGTAGTAGGTATTGATGTGGGTTTCCAAAATTGTTACATCGCTGTTGCCAGAAGCGGCGGCATTGAAACCATTGCCAATGAATACAGCGACAGATGTACACCGTAAGTATACCATTGACACTATATAGAATGGGACTGTGCGCAATGTTTGCGACTGGGATGCGCGCTGTAGCCTACCTGATGGCGTAGTGATCAAATGCTCCCACGATGAATGTTTCATGTGTAATTATGAATATCTTACATTGGAGGATGACATTACATTGGAAAGTATTTTTTCTTCAATGTACATGCGTAGCCTATTGATTGGTCTATTTTCAGTTTTGCGTATTACAACGTTATAACGTCGTCTCCATTCTCATAAGTCTTTGTTACATGTTCATTTACCTAATGGCCTCTCTTAATAATTGCAGCAGTATACGTATGTGGCCTTTTTGGTCTTATCTTACACTTTTCTATCCTATCCTGTTCTGAAACATGATTTTTAAGGCTTGGTGATAGCCTACGCCCAAATATGGCCAAATTGTTCAGTATGAAAATGTTGTTGATTTTTTTCTATATCTCATGTCATATCGTTTTTTTTTATGAATATGTCTACATTACTCTATTTTTCAAATAAGATATGTTGTGTTGTCCTTTTTTCAAGGCAGGCCCATGCAATGAGTGTCAACAAAATGTAGGCAATATCGCATTTTATTTCTTGCGAACATCATTGCATTTGGTGGGACTTGACTGCTGTTGTACATTCTTGCTCTTAGACATAAGAGTATGACAAAATCCCATGTGGACAGAATAATTTGAACAAAGATCAATATAGGCTATAGATGGGCTGCTTGTAAGCCTACTGTAGCCTATGTGAATGTGACTATCATACACACGTAATGACATTGGAAGAGGTGACTGAAAACATGGGTATTCACATGGGGCCTTATGGCCTAAAGCACATCAAATCAGACACCAAGTTTAGTTGACACCAATTCCTCTCAAAACTGCAAGACTACCCCTGCTCCACCTAACAGGCCACTGTGCAAGGTGCACCAATACTCTGAGTGAGAGGGAATGTAATGACCTGGGTTTTATTACAGCCTGCTCTTGCAAATAACTAAACTGACATCAGAGCAACTGCAGGCATCTTTTTCTATGCATAGTCCATGCTCACATTGCCAATTGTGAATAACCCCAAACATAACATAGCATTGCAATGCCAGAACTCTTAAAATGTATTTGATGATGAGGAGGAGAGGGAAGAGGGGGAGGTGGAGGAGAGCGAGACCTTTGATGCCAGTTGATGGAATTGATATTTTCATTCAAGGAACCTGGATCACTCTTTGTCAGCAACACAATGAGCTGATGCCGGAAGTGTGTCAGTTAAATTAGTTTAAAAAGTGATATTATAAATGAGTACGAATTCATCGGAATCTTCTTCCCGAAAAGGTCTGAAGCTTCTGCGCATGTGCAGGATTCTCTACTTTATGCACAGTCTCTGCTCTACTCGTTCAGTTGCCCAGAGAACAGGCTACTATTTTAAATATTTGAAGGTGAACTGTTCTGTCTTACTGCCCTAATTCGTAGTACTTTCACAGACTCCCTTGTGAAATTCACTTAATAATCTGCAGATTTTCAACCTCCATCATTCTAAACTGGTATTCTTCTTTCTATGTCAATCTATCTTGTAGCCTACTATTAACCATTAGGACTATAGTATATTTTTTATGTATTTATTTGTTTTGGTTCCCCAGGGCTTGGGTGTCTCTGGCCTCCAAAAACCGCACCATTGGAAATGCAGCCAAGGGTCAAGTAAGAGAATCAAATGAGAATAGATTTTATAGTGCTAGTTTTGTGCAAATGTAATTTTCCAGATAAATACTTTTTGGGAAATTATTAAATTGGTCAGGATCAAATCACATGTGAGTAAATAACCCAGTTTTATTTCAGATTATAACAAACTTCAAAAACACAGTCCATGGCTTCAAGAAGTTCCATGGCAGAGCGTTCGATGACACATATGTCCAGGGGGAGAAACCCAAGTTGCCTTACAGCTTGCACAAGCTGGCCAATGGCAACACTGGAATCAAGGTAAGACCACTGTACACATTTCCACTCTGTTCCCTTTTCACTGCACTCCATTTCTATTGTGTTCTCTTTAGCTCCATCACCCCATGGTCCATTGTCACTATGTACAGTACCATTATTATATTGCTCAGTTGTTTGTATTTTCCACTGTATTTGACCTCCAAACCATATTTTTTAACCAGCACTGACACCATCACCATCAGCTGGTTTTGTTATTGTCTACATCAGGGGTTCCCAAACTTTTTCACTCAGGACCCCCTTACAGCACTGGGGAACATCTCGCTCCCCCTTGCGCGCCACATCTATTTCTATGGGCACAAGCACTGTTCATGACACAAACTGTTCACACCCCTCTTGTTGGTGTAGAGAACATTTAGGAGGTATAAAGCTTATTTCCTACAATTCTACACATTTTGTAATGGGGGGGGGGGGGGGGCAGAGAAAATATTGTAGTTTTAAAGCTGCTTACAGTTCTATACATTTTGCCATGTCTAATGTGTATTCATGGGATATTGAGTGACTCAAACATCACCATAAAATCTATGGACTAAAAAAGCTAGCTAAGAAACATTAGCTGACATGGGCTAGTTGATCTGTACATTTCTGAGAAGTTATAAATAGCACTCTAAGGTATGCAATGACTGACATGACAAGAGGAAAACTGATGATGCACTACCCAATTTCGAAATTGCACCTTGTGAATTCTATTATTACAACTTTCAAGAGTAAGTTGAAAGCCAGACTGAGTTCCTTATTTTTTTATTTTTTTGGGGGGGGGTGACCCCCCACCCCCCTGCCGACCCCACAGTTTGGAAACCACTGTTCTAAATGATCTAAATTAAAACTGTGTCCCATTCATAGGTGCGTTACCTGGATGAGGACAAAGTGTTCACAATTGAGCAGGTAACAGCAATGCTGCTGACCAAGCTGAAGGAAACTTCGGAGAGTGCCCTCAAGAAGCCAGTTGTGGACTGTGTGATCTCTGTGAGTGACAACAATATATTGCAATACACTGCAAATGAAAATAGTCAACATAATAACAATATAGCTACTGCACATGTGAATATACCATGAAACTAACCATAGTAATTTTCCCATCCCATTTCAAGTTTATTATTTTCTAACAAGAGTTTTGTTTCATAGGTTCCAAGTTTTTTCACCGATGCAGAGAGGAGGTCTGTGATGGACGCCACCCAAATTGCAGGGTTGAACTGTCTGCGTTTGATCAATGACACCACAGCAGGTCAGTGATTCCCACACGGTCTTTAGATTTATTGATTCTAGTTGTCTAAAGCATTAATGTGTATTTAATTGTTTCATAACACATTTTGTATTTCTACCAACAACTTTATTTGATTAGGGAATATGATTATCCCAAAATAGGCTGGGGTTCCCTAGAGACTGCAGTTTTGCAAGTCTTTGTTTTCTCACCTGTAATCAGCAGGCACTGATATTCACAGAGGGCACTTGAAAAGGCCCTTGTAGGAGCAATGTGTAGGCCTATAAGCTGCACAAACATATAATCATATTATGTGATATTAGGTTTAGGGTACCAAAATGACTTTATAACACATACAGTACCAGTCAAAAGTTTGGACACACCTACTAATTCCAGGGTTTTTCTTTATTTTTACTATTTTCTACATTGTAGAATAGTAGTGAAGACATCAAAACTATGAAATAACACATATGGAATCACGTAGTAACCACAAAAGTGTTAAACAAATCAAAATATATTTTATATTTGAGATTCTTCAAATAGCCACCCTTTGCCTTGATGACAGCTTTGCACACTCTTGGCATTCTCTCAACCAGCTTCATGAGGTAGTCACCTGGAATGCATTTCAATTAACAGGTGTGCCTTGTTAAAAGTTAATTTGTGGAATTTATTTCCTTAATGCGTTTGAGCCAATCAGTTGTGTTGTGACAAGGTAGGGGGGGTATACAGAAGATAGGCCTATTTTGTAAAAGACCAAGTCCATACTTTGGCAAGAACAGCTCAAATAAGCAAAGAGAAATGACAGTCCATTATTACTTTAAGACATGAAGGTCAGTCAATCCGGAAAATGTCAAGAACTTTGAAAGTTTCTTCAAGTGCAGTCGCAAAAAACATCAAGCGCTATGATGAAACTGGCTCTCATGAGGACCGCGACAGGAATCAAATACCCAGAGTTACCTCTGCTGCAGAGGATAAGTTCATTACAGTTACCAGCCTCAGAAATTGCAGCCCAAATAAATGCTTCACGGAGTTCAAGTAACAGACACATCTCAACATCAACTGTTCAGAGGGGACTGTGTGAATCAGGCCTTCATGGCCGAATTGCTGCAAAGAAACCACTACTAAAGGACACCAATAAGAAGAAGAGACCTGCTTGGGCCAAGAAACACAAGCAATGGACATTAGACCGGTGGAAATGTGTCCCTTGGTCTCGAGTCCAAATTTGAGATTTTTGGTTCCAACCGCTGTGTCTTTGTGAGACGCGGTGTGGGTGAACGGATGATCTCCGCATGTGTATTTCCCACTGTAAAGCATGGAGGAGGAGGTGTTATGGTGTGGGGGTGCTTTGCTGGTGACACTGTCTGTGATGTATTTAGAATTCAAGGCACACTTAACCAGCATGGCTACCACAGCATTCTATATGCCATCCCATCTGGTTTGGGGTCAGTGGGACTATCATTTGTTTTTCAACAGGACAATGACCCAACACACCTCCAGGCTGTGTAAGGGCTATTTGACCAAGAAGGAGAGTGATGGAGTGCTGCATCAGATGACCTGGCCTCCACAATCCCCCGACCTCAACCCAATTGAGATTGTTTGGGATGAGTCGGACTGCAGAGTGAAGGAAATGCAGCCAACAAGTGCTCAGCATATGTGGGAACTCCTTCAAGACTGTTGTAAAAGCATTCCAGGTGAAGCTGGTTGAAGGAATACCAAGAGTGTGGAAAGCTGTCATCAAGGCAAAGGGTGGCTAGTTTTTGTTTACTACATGATTCCATATGTAATATTTCATAGTTTTGATGTATTCACTATTATTCTACAATGTAAAAAATAGTAAAACTAAAGAAAAACCCTTGAAAGAGAAGGTGTGTCCAAACTTTTGACTGGTAGTGTACATTACTTATTCATTTCCATCCACTAAGATGCTCTTATTCATGCAGTGGTGTAGTGTAGTGTTATTCATTAGAGTGTCTGTCTCATATTGTTGTTTCTAAATGGCAGTGGCCCTGGCCTATGGGATCTACAAGCAGGACCTGCCCACCCCAGAGGAGAAGCCACGCAATGTGGTGTTCGTGGACCTTGGACATTCATCATTTCAGGTCTCCATATCAGCCTTCAACAAAGGCAAACTCAAGGTGGGTTTTTCTTCCTAAAGTACTGAAGTCTCTCACTATTTTTCACCTGTCTTTTTCATTATTTCTTCCATATTTAACCCCAAACTGTCTGGTCAATTAACCAGGTCCTGGCCACAGCCTTTGACCCCTACCTTGGTGGGCGTAACTTTGATGAGGCACTTGTGGATCACTTCTGCGAGGAGTTCAAGGCAAGGTACAAGCTGAACGTGAGGGAGAACCCCAGGGCTATTCTGCGGCTGTCTCAGGAATGTGAGAAACTGAAGAAGTTGATGAGCGCCAACTGCTCTGACCTTCCCATTAACATCGAGTGCTTCATGAATGACATTGATGTGACAGGCAAGATGAACAGGTACACATATGGATTTGTGACTCCTTCGTTTAGCTTCCTATAGTCTTAGAGATTTATATGCATTAATGATAATTCCACTTTCCCCCTTCCTTTTAATTTTCAGAGTCCAGTTTGAAGAACTTTGTGCACCATTTCTGATGAGAGTAGAGGCACCATTGAAAGCAGTTATGGAACAATCAAGTATGTCATTTTTATCAAATCGAATTTGATTTAGTGGTGACAGTACAATATAATTCAACAGTAACCAGAACATGTATTATTTGATCCTCTCTGTGTGTGTGTGTTTTGTGTCAGAGCTGAGCCGGGATGAGATCTATGCAGTGGAGGTGGTAGGAGGAGCCACCAGGATCCCTTCCATTAAAGAGAGGATCTCCAAGTTCTTTGGCAAAGATGTTAGCACCACACTCAACGCAGATGAGGCTGTGGCACGGGGCTGTGCTCTTCAGGTACTCCCCTATCCTCTTACAGAGATGGAAACTTCAGCCATCAATTGTATATGATTTGCTGTAATATTCAGTGTGTAACAAAGTGATTGTGTGTTTGTGTTTGTGTCCTTGTTTGGGTGTGTGTTTGTTTATGTGTGTGTGTTTAGTGTGCAATTCTGTCACCAGCGTTTAAGGTGCGTGAATTCTCTATCACTGATGTGGTTCCCTTTCCCATCACCCTGCGTTGGAAGTCCCCCACAGAAGATGGAGTTGGGTAAGGGCACCTACTCAGCTGGCTCTATAGAGAAACATGCATCTGTAGGTACTGTGTTGTTTGTAGTAAGATGAGCAGATATTACAACTCAGTGTTTGCCTCTATGTTTGTCTTGACCTCATTCAACACCACTGTCTGTTCTACAGAGAATGTGAGGTGTACAGTAAGAACCATGCAGCACCCTTCTCCAAAGTCATCACCTTCCACAAGAAGGAGCCCTTTGACTTGGAAGCATTCTACAGCCTCCCACAGGAGCTGCCTTACCCGGACATCAGGATAGGTACACCTGCTTATTCAACTCAGGCCTCTGCAGTTCATAGAGATCTTCTTCCATCTTTGATGTACCTGTTCAAGGAATTGGAAGGTGGTCTCACTAAACGTAACAAATTTAGCTGGAACACCCGGATGTCACTTCGCTATTCTGCCTTGAGATCCCCTTACAAGACAGAGCAGTGTGCTCTATGGAATTCAGCTCCTATATGTCTGTAATGGCCATCTGCAAGTGTTCCTTGGTGGCCAGGCTGATGATGAACACTTAAACCCTATAGTGGGGGTCTCCCACCTGGCTGGTAATTAGGACTCAGGCTGAATCTCCCATGGAAGACTGCGTCCCTATGAGTCACAGGAGTCTTTTACAGAGCCGAGCTGTGTGTGTGTGTGTGTGAGTGTATGCATTATAAGGGGGTGTCTCAGATGGGATTTCAGTTTAGAAGAAGTGCAATTACTAGCTAATCAGACCTCGTCCTCCTGCCCCTGTCTCTGATGGACATGTCAATTCTCCAGTGTGTTTGTGTAATTTCAGGTGTGGCATTTGAACATCTCTCTCCCTCCATCCCTTTCTCTCTTGCTTTCTCAGGGAGTTTTTCTGTGCAGAATGTGGTGCCACAGCCTGATGGAGAGAGCTCCAAAGTGAAGGTCAAAGTGCGCGTCAATGTGCACGGCATCTTCAGTGTTTCCAGCGCCTCCCTGATCGAGAAGCAGAAGGGTGAAGGAGAGGATGTTCAGATGGACATGGAACCCACTGTGCAGAATGAAGGAAGGCCAGAGGACCAGGTAAGAGAGAGAGGAGGAGAGAAGATTCACCTGAATTTCACATCAGCAACTTCACCCTATTTTAAGATTTCAGAGCGCATGGCAAAGAAGCTGTTGTTTAATCTTCCCAATTGAATGTCTTAGGTCAAAGACTTAAAGCACTGATATGACTTAATGTCTTACTCTATGTGGCTATTTTCACTCAAGCCCATTTTCTCTCAATTCCTGGCTGAAGCTGCACCCCTGTCCTCTCATTGAAGATGACACCTTTAACTATATGGAGGAGGTTTGTGGTCACTGTGTGTGGTTAGCCCTCACTCCAATCCCTTTTCATACTCTACTTCACCCTCTGCGAGGTGAAGTCCAATGCTGGTCTCATCTGTGGAGCACTGGTCTCACTAAGGTTCATCACAGTGAGCCTGAGGGTGTGTTTGTATAACTAGGCTTGGCAGTGTGTGACGCCAAAGGATACATGAAGCCAGTGGAATAGCTATTAAGATGAATATACTTTCCACATCTTCATAGCGCTATCCTTCACAAGCTGTGCTGTACCTATGTCTGCTATAAAAAATCATCCTCCACTCCTTTGATATTATCAATATGTCAGTGTATTTGAATGTGTTACTCATACAGATCATAACATTCTAATTGGCATCTTTGAACAGTAGATATTTTTATTAGAATAAAGCAACTGTCCAGTGAAAATCATATTCTGTTAACTCATACCCAAATAACGTTGTTGACGCATATTTGTGGCCAAAGCATAAATTGGAGAAGAAACACTTCAAAAACACCACCTCAAACTTGTATCTCAAACGGAACGTTTAAAAAATGCTTGCTATTTCCTCATAGAGGATGATGTCATCTGAGGAGGATGAGCTGGCCAAACAGTGGTCTACTCACATGAATATTTTTAATGACAGGTATACACCCACACCATTCTGTTGTTGGGGTACTCCCACACCATTCCAACACAGAAAAGCTGCTTTTTAACATACTTAATTACCATATTTTGGAAGGAAAACGATTTCACTCATATTGTATGTCATAGAAATCTGGAAACACTGGACAGTTACTTTAACAGGAGGGGTGTGCAGCTTGAAGTAAGCTGGTTTAGATAGACATAGGTGTAACATAATTAATTATACTACTAAGGTGGTCCATGAGTCAAAGCTACTGTAAGTAGAGCAGCCAGGCATTGATTGTAAGATTCAGGTGATGTTGCTGTGAGGGTGTCCTACTGTCTCAGACTAAAATGCAGGTGGACCAGGAGAGTCAAGGCCAGGGGGACCAGCAGAATGAGGAAGTCAGCTCCTGCAGTAAGGTGAATAAGAAACTATAATTACACTTAAACCTTTATGTATTGTGAAACACTGAGAACCAATATAAGAGTTGGAACTGATTTATTTGTTTAATCTCCCAACAAAGGAGAGAGTCCCTGGTGAGAAGCAGGACCCAGCAGCAGGGGGAAGCAAGCCCAAAGTCAAAGTGAAAAGCACTGACCTTCCCATCCTGGCCAACACCATCAGACAGCTGGACAGGGGAGTCCTCAATGACTTTGTGGAGTATGAGGTGAGTCACTCTTAGGGCCTCCCCAGCAGCTGAGTCCTATTCTCATTGTAATGCTGGTCGCCTCGACCCAGGGGAAAAGACTTCGACCCTGAGGAAAGCTTATTGTAAAGTCAAACTTACCTGCCTTGTTTAGTTCAAAGACATAAAACATTAGTAGTAGGGGTTTCTGTAGGAAGGTTAATAATCTGAACCAGCTTTGGAAATGTAATGGCAAGTTCTGCATTAGTTGTCTCATTCATGTTTGACCTATGTTGTACACTTCTACAAAACTGTGGTAGATGATGTACCTCACTGTGTCCTATATTTCTGTGTGGCTGGATTCCATTGAGCCGCCTGGGAGTGCGTATTAGAGAAGGCGGAAGGCTGATTTTGGCTCTCAGCACATGCGCCTCACTTTGTCTCTCCCTCCTTTTCTCTCTGTCCTTCAGGGCCAGATGATCGTCCAGGACAAGCTGGAGAAAGAGAGGAATGATGCTAAAAATGCTGTGGAGGAATATGTGTACGACCTGCGGGACAAACTGTGTGGCATCTATGAGAAGTACACCACTGTGGAGGTAAGAACCTAGATGAACATATTCCTTTCAACTAATAAATAAATACTGCCACATTGAACAAAGAACAAGTCTTTGCAATACATAATGTGTTTGCTAATACCTGTTTTGGCCTTTCTCATCATCCAAAAAGGACAGTAATCGTCTGACAATGATGCTCGAGGACACAGAGAACTGGCTTTATGAGGAGGGAGAGGACCAAGCCAAACAGGTCTATGTGGACAAGCTGGAAGATCTCAAGGTTAGAGTTCATTTAGCATAAAGGACTTATATCCAGCCTCTGCCTGCAACCATCTGCTATTATGGCAGTTCTGAAATCAGGAGCAAGATACGTGAATAATAAACAAATGTTTTTGGGGCATTTAGGTGAACAGTGTCATCTCCATTTGAAAACATTAACCTCCGTTTGAAGGTTTAGGTACGTGACTCAGCATTTTTTTGAGTGATTTGACTGATGTGATTTGACTGATGTCCTTTTCCAGAGGTTTGGCCAGCCCATTCAGGACAGGCACAGGGAGCAGGAGGACAGGCCGAGAGCATTTGAAGAGATGGGCAAGAAGATCCAACTCTATATGAAGGCTGTGGAGCTTTATAAACAGAAGGTAAAAAATGGAATCATTTTCAGCATCCTTTCATCCTTGAGCATCTTTGAGATCTCTTTGTTTTTTGGATTGCACTGATGTCAGAAAAGGCATTATCATGCTCTTGCGTGCTTGTTCTCTCCTACTTTAGAAACATTGAACCCATTCTATTTCTATGATTCGAACCACCAATGGTTTCGCTTCTCTGTGGGAATATGGTTTCTGTGATGTCATTACAGCTCAGTGTGAGATGCATTGAAATGATGCTGAGACCATTTACAATGCCACTTTTTCTCTGTGAACTACTACACCACTGCTCTGTTGGGATTGTGCTAATTACTTTCCCTGTATTACCTTTGCCATATTCAGTACACTCCGTTTTACTTGTTTAGTTTTATCAGTCCTCTGGGGCCTGTACACACTTTTCAAAACTGGTTAGGTCAATGTCATAGTAATTTTATGAGCAATTGTGACACTATCTGTTCTAGGACTGAATCTGTCTCTGGGTTTAAACCAGGATATATGTAATAACCGATCTGTGAAATTTAGATTAATTAATTATTTTGTGAGGGCATAGATTAGGTAATTTACATAAGGAGATAGAGGTGTGCTATCTCTAATTGTGTTGTTTCCTATCTACACTCAGGATGAACGTTACCAGCATCTGAATGCTGAGGAGATGAGCAGCGTGGAGAAGTGTGTAAATGAAAGCATGGGCTGGATGAACAGCAAGATGAACGCCCAGAGCAAACTCACCATTGCCCAGGACCCAGTCGTCAAAGTAGCAGACATAATTTCCAAAATACAGGTGTGTGTGATAAGTGGGTATGATTCAACCATATGACATGCTATTGGCACATCGTCACCAGGTACTTATTGTTTTAATAATACTGCATATTCCTATCTTCCATTTATACCTATACTTTAGGAACTGGATGAAGTATGCAACCCAGTGGTCAACCGGCCGAAGCCCAAAGCAGAGGATATGTCAGAGGAGAACTACAAGAGCAACGGGGCCCATAACGGCCCAAGGCAAGGAGCTGACGGGAAGGGAGAGGCAAAGGGAAGCAACCAGACAAAGCCTCCCTCAGGAGAGATGGAAATTGACTGAGCCCCTCTCTGCCAAACAAGCTCTGCTGCCATCACTTTAGCTCCCATCAGAGCAGGTCTACCCAAACATACATAGTATAGCCGGGACCATTTTTCCATGTCCACCACCACTCAGCGGGCTGTTTTGTGCATTTGTATTCAGCGTCCCCCTGTTTGATTTGTACCTTTTTATCTTTTTTTGACTTTCCCTTGTATGTTACAACGGTGCGCTCCTCCTTCAGAGGTTAGACAATACCTTATATAGTCATTAACTGTAAGATTAGATATAGATTAAAACAATGCTGGCTCTCCCAAAAATAGTTTTTCCAAACCATACGTGTTTGCATTTCAAAAGTCAAGCAGATCTCTAAGGTGACTCTTATTGCACATAACCTTGTAGTGGAACATAAGTAGAATTACTGTCTGAACAAATGCTAAGGCTGATTAAACTATTAGTAAACTATGTATGCAGTAATACATATTATATATATTTGTATTTAATATATTAATTTGAAAAGATGTCTGTATGTCTAGATTCTGTAAATATTATTTTAGTAATTTAAACTGGCCAGTGCATATAGTTGTGTATAGGATACATTCCTAGTGTTGAAATGGCAACGCGTGATGCACCAAAACTGTAAAGTAGCAAGACAAGAGAGCAATGGGCTGCCTATTCTTTTACTTGTTTTCATGCATTTCCATATTTGAGTCATGAGATTTAAAGACGGCAAGTAATAAATGCATTATTTTTGTCTTTAAGACAAATATTGTGTTATTTCATTATTGATCGAAATGTAATTGACTAAAGTGCTAAATATGTGTATTCAAAGTATCGTCATCTTATTTAAGACTACTATGCTACAAAGCAACTCTAAAATGTGAAGTTACTAGATGAGAAAGTTGTTTTCACATAAAGAGGATGTTATTTTATTCAGGGCATCTAGTGCTTTTTGTTCCTGATTAGGCTCCTTTAGCTCGAGCAGCCTTCAACGTGATTGTGGCTACTTTTGCTTGTTGCCAAATGACGTATATAGTCACGTGACCACGAGTGTAACGGGCGGATATTTTCAAAATGGAAGAAATGCAAAAGATTTGGAGTGGAATAAAACACCAACATTCATTTGTTTTATCAAAGGTCGTTTACGGCCGCTGATAAGTTAACCTGGTTGAACATGTGTTGAATAATACTTTTGTATCGATTGGGAAGACATGAGAAGCAAGATGAGTGTTTCAATCGGTAATAAAATCGAGGTGAGTTGTCGACTTAACGTTATACTGTACTACTGTAGCTAGCTAACTTAGCCAAAATTATTTTAGGTCGCTGAAGTTGCAAGAAGTAGCTACTCCAACGATGTTTAGTTAGCTAAATAGCAAACTAACATAGCTACTGTAGTTGTCTACAAACGTTACCCACTTTGCACAATTCGTAGTAGGCAATGCAGACGAGTAACGTTACTGTAGCTAACGACGTTAGCTAATGCTAAAACTAGCATTGCCGCAGCAGAGTTGTTGTTGACTCTTGAGACGTGCCCCCACAGGTGGTTGGTGGCACCTTAATTGGGGAGGACAGGCTCGTGGGAATGGCTGGAGCGGAATAGGTGGAACGACCATTCCATTTACTCCGTTCCAGCCACATTATGAGCCAGCCTCCACTGGTGCCCCCTCTCCCCCCGCGACTTACCGCACCTGTTTATTGTTGCCAGGTGACTGGGAAGACAGCGCCTGCTTCATTAGCGGGAAGAGAGCCGGGATAATTCAAGGTTTTGGTTGGCCATATGGCAGAGAAGGGTGCTACGTTTGTCTGATGTTTTGTTTCTGACAGTTGGGTAGCCAGTCTGTAGCTACCCTGACGACCAAATGCCTGGTACAGTTGTTGTAGTGGTGTACTACTCACTGGCTGTCTAGCCACCTACATCATACATGTCAGAGGGAAGATGTTCGACAAAGTTATTCATTATTTCTTTCGAAACCTGACAACTAAATGCAAAGTCAGTGAAGATGAGGAGAGAATCTTATCTACAGCTGGGGAGCTACAGATTGAGGTATCACATCAGTCATCCTGTATATAAAAAAAGAACAGCTGACAGGCACATCTAGGACATATTTTTAGGATGTAGGCCTAGCTATAGGACATATTCTAGCCATATGTGTTGTAATGTAAATATTAGCTTATTGACTTTGGAATTCTGTATTGCATTTTGTGAAAACATTTGTTAATTCTCTTAATCAGGACTTCAAAGTTCTCACCCTCCTTGGTAAGGGCTCCTTTGCATGTGTTTACCGGGCAAAGTCAGTGAACACTGGCTTGGAGGTGGCGATCAAAATGGTAAGAACTATTTTTCTAAGTTGCTATACAGTCTGCATCCCAGTTTTTTTATGGTGTTGCTCCCCAGGTAACCACAAACACAGACATTAATACCATAGAGTAAGAGCTCATCACTACAAAGTGTTTATTGTCAAGTGCAAGCAGACAAATCACAAGTGTAGAAATGTTGACATAGCCTACACAGTGAAGACTCACCCACTTATCATCATCACCCTCTCACTACCAGGTGGTGTGTTTAGCAGAGCCTTGTATTTTCCCTAAGCCCCCCTCCCATAAGTCCTCTGTGGACTGTTGGGAGTCTAGACAGTCTGTTCTGTCTCTGGATAGCTCTCATCGTTTCTTTGTGGAAGATCGATCGCTGTTAGCCACAAGACTAAAGCAGTGTATTTTAACGCTCACATGCACTGTATAATTATCTCTATTATTCCCCTCTCTGTACAGATTGACAAAAAAGCCATGCACAAATCTGGTATGGTCCAGCGTGTGAGTAACGAAGTGGAGATTCAGTGTCGATTGAAGCATCCGTCAATACTAGAGGTAAGCATGGTTGAACCTGTTATGTTGGGCCTGTTATGGCATATGTGATCATTGTAGTGCTGAAATTGGCGCTACTTTAATAAGGACTTATTTACATGACTGCATTTAACCCCAGGGTTCTCCCAATGATTTTTTAACAATATGGTGCTGCTGAGTACAGGTGGGGTGTAGTGCCCCTCTTTACACTCAGACAGTTTGGCTTTTTTGAACACTGCCATTTCCTGCAATCTAGAGCAAAACTGGCTAGAATATTAGCGTTTGGGGCCTTAAATTATAAAACATATTTTTAGGGCGGCAGGTAGCTTAGTGGGTAAGAGCGTTGTGCCAGTAACCGAAAGGTCGCTGGTTCTAATCCCAGAGCCGACTAGGTGAAAAATCTGTCTGTGCCCTTAAGCAAGGCACTTAACCCTAATTGCTCCGGATAAGTCGCTCTGGATAAGAGTGTCTGCTAAATGACTAAAATGTCAATGTAAAAATGTACATAGTGGCGCAGCCAGTCCACAAGGTGGTGCAGTGCCACTCTTTACATTCTTTGGGGAGAACCCTGAACCCTGACATAACATTTTGGCCTGTCATTTTACTCCTTTGCAGCTGTACAACTACTTTGAAGACAGTAATTATGTGTACTTGGTGTTGGAGATGTGCCATAATGGAGAGATGAGTCGATACCTGAAAGATAGGAAGATGCCCTTCTCAGAGGATGAAGGTGAGTCACATTTTCTACCTGAGAGTGAGTCAGTGATACATCTCTTAACATGATATGAAAGCTACGATAACATGTATTGACACTTGTCCTCGTTTCCTTTTAGAACAGTTTTCATTTGTTGTTTTTTCACGTTACAGCAAGGCACTTCATGCATCAAATAGTGAAAGGTATGCTGTACTTGCACACACATGGCATCATGCATCGGGACCTGACCTTGTCCAACCTGCTGCTGTCGGGCAATATGAACCTTAAAATAGCTGACTTTGGCCTGGCCACCCAGCTGAAGCTCCCCAGCGAGAAGCACTTCACCATGTGTGGCACACCCAACTACATCTCCCCAGAGGTGGCCACCCACAGTGCCCACGGCCTGGAGTCTGATGTCTGGTCTCTGGGCTGCATGTTCTATGCCTTCCTGATGGGCCGGCCCCCGTTTGACACAGACACGGTGAAGCACACCCTCAACAAGGTGGTCCTGGGGGAGTATGACATGCCCAGCCACGTGTCCCAGGAGGCCCAGGACCTGATCCGCCAGCTGCTGAGGAAGGACCCTGCGCAACGGCCCAGCCTGTCTGCCGTGCTGGAGCACCCGTTCATGACCCAAAGCCTGCTGGCCAGGACCAAGGAGCTGAGCCTGGGGGAGCCAGGCTCCATGGACAGCGGCATTGCCACCATCTCCACAGCCTGCACCTCATCCACCTCCGGCAGCAACAGCAGCCATCTCCAGAAGAGAGCGAGGCACATGATAGGACCTGCCTTGCCCAACCGCATGATGCCTATCCCCACACTGCCCACGCTGCTGCCCAGGCTGCCCAGCAGCGCCTGCTTTGAGGGGGTTGAGCAGTGGCAGCAGCAGCACTCAGAGAGAGTAGGCAGGAGCAGAGCTGCTCCGGGTGGGAAGAGTGGACGACCCCACTCTAGGTACCTACGGAGGGCTCACTCCTCAGACCGGTCTAGCTCCTCTGCCACTCCAGCCCAGGGGATGGGGCAGGCAGAGCTGGAGAGGTGCCACTCTGAGGAGATGCTGACTGGGTCGGGGAGACTGGCCTTTCCCATGTCCTCCAGCTACAAGGACACTCCACAACCCTTCGCAGAACATGGAAGGCTCCCATCGCCGCCTGTCAAACAGACAGCCAGGTAAGATGTGACACCAGTGTGATGTAATGAATAGAATGTGATTTATATTAAGATGGCTGTGTCTGTCTGACTAACTGATGCATGTATGTTCTCTATGTCCTCAGCTCAGGATGTTCATATTCCACACAACCACCACGTCCACTAAACCTGCAGTTACAAGAGTCAGAAGGTGTACAGAATTGGTTCAGTAAAGAAGGTATATTACACCTACTCTTTTCTTTGCTGTATCTTAATCTTACATCCCAATGTAAAGATTTAAAAGCTCTAAAATAAAGATTTTCATACATGAGCTTGACAGTGTTTGTTCCCCCTGCCTCCCCAGGCCCGTTTCCGAGGCCCATGGATGTCAGCTCTCACAGCAGCAGTGGCAGTTTCCATAGCAGCAGGGAGCCTCTAGGTGTACACAACTACTGGAGTGACAAACCAGCAGGCAGAGGGACCAGTTCTCACCGCAACCACAACCAGCACCACCCCTCAAACATTGAGTCCTACTGGGAGAATGGGCAACGAGTACATGGGGGAGAGCTGCAGAGTCTGTCCAAACCCAAACCAAGTATAGAAAAGAAGTCTCTGAGAAATGTGCTCCCTCCCCTGTGTGCCTCCAGACTAAAACCCATCAGACAGAAGACTAAAAACGCTGTGGTAAGACAGACAAAGCCCCTAGTTATCCCCATGTGTCTATTCAACTGATCTGCTTTCAATGACAGGGCTATGCCTGCCTGCTCTACAGCTGCGGTTTCTGTCTCCTCCCCAGGTGAGCATTCTGGATACAGGAGAGGTGTGTATGGAGCTGCTCAAGGGTCAGGGCCTCCAGGAGAGGGTCAAAGAGGTCCTTAGGATATCCTGTGATGGTTCGATGGTGGGTTTCAGGAATAACAACACTTCATAACCTTCAGAGAGGATGTATCATGGTCTCTGTCAGTAAAATAATGGCAAAACACTAATTCCAACCTTTGACCATGCTCCTGTAGGTCACTATTTACCAGCCCAATGAGGGGAAGGGGTTTCCTGTGCTAGATCGTCCCCCTGCTCCTCCTGAGGACATCCTGATCTGCAGCTATGAGGACCTACCAGGTACACCTCAATACCAGACAGTGAAGTCTCAGTGACATGATTAAAAACCATAATTTTATAAATATGTTGGAAATCTGATTTCAACTAACCACTGTCCTCTGTTTATCTTTAATAGAGAAGTACTGGAAGAAATACCAGTATGCCTCCAAGTTTGTGCTGCTGGTGAAATCCAAGACTCCAAAAGTCACCCTCTACACAAAGTATGCTAAGTGTATGCTGATGGAGAACTCCCCCAATGCAGACCTGGAGGTGTGCTTCTACGATGGTAAGGACCATTTAGAAAGCATCAGTTATATGAAACATAATGAACTTGAAGGATAAGGTCTATTGTCCTTCTCTGATATTGAAACGTTATTGTTGCACACTGTTAAACTAAATCATCCTGACCTGTTGTTCCCCTCTGTACTGTGACAGGAGCAAAGACCCACAAGACGTCGGAGCTGGTCCGGGTGGTGGAGAAGAGTGGGAAGTCGTACACAGTGAAGGGGGAGGTGGGTCTCAGTGGCCTCAGCCCAGAGAGCAGGCTGTATGTGGAGCTGTCTGACGAGGGCCACAGCATGTGTCTGTCTCTAGAGGTGGCAATCACTGCAGAAGAGCAGCACAGTGCCAAGAGCACTCCCTTCTTCCCCATCACCATTGGCAGGTGAGAGAGAGAGCCATGACTGTCTGTTGTCAGCATTAATGCTGTAAATTGTAATGTTTGGAAGCACTTAAATAAAGTACCATCTTGCACCATGTTGCAGAATGCTGAGAGTTACTATTTCAGGTATATACAGTCGTGGTCAAAAGTTTTGAGAATGACACAAGTATTGGTCTTCACAAAGTTTGCTGCTTCAGTGTTTTCAGATATTTTTGTCAGATGTTACTATGGTATACTGAAGTATAATTACAAGCATTCCATAAGTGTCAAAGGCTTTTATTGGCAATTACATTACGTTTATGTAAAGAGTCAATATTTGCAGTGTTGACCCTTCTTTTTCAAGACCTCTGCAATCCGCCCTGGCATGGTGTCAATTAACTTCTGGGCCACATCCTGACTGATGGCAGCCCATTCTTGCATAATCAATGCTTGGAGTTTGTCAGAATTTGTGGGTTTTTGTTTGTCCACCTGCCTCTTGAGGATCGACCACAAGTTCTCAATGGGATTAAGGTCTGGGGAGTTTCCTGGCCATGGACCCAAAATGTCGATGTTTTGTTCCCCGAGCCACTTAGTTATCACTTTTGCCTTATGGCAAGGTGCTCCATCATGCTGGAAAACGCATTGTTCGTCACCAAACTGAGAAGTTGCTCTCGGAGGATGTGTTGGTACCATTCTTTATTCATGGCTTTGTTCTTAGGCAAAATTGTGAGTGAGCCCACTCCCTTGGCTGAGAAGCAACCCCACACATGAATGGTCTCAGGATGCTTTACTGTTGGCATGACACAGGACTGATGGTAGCGCTCACATTGTCTTCTCCGGACAAGCTTTTTTCCGGATGCACCAAACAATCGGAAATGGGATTCATCAGAGAAAATGACTTTACCCCAGTCCTCAGCAGTCCAATCCCTGTACCTTTTGCAGAATATCAGTCTGTCCCTGATGTTTTTCCTTCTTGACACCAGGCCATCCTCTAAAAGTCTTCGCCTCACTGTGCGTGCAGATGCACTCACACCTGCCTGCTGCCATTCCTGAGCAAGCTCTGCACTGGTTGTGCCCCGATCCCGCAGCTGAATCAACTTTAGGAGACGGTCCTGGCGCTTGCTGGACTTTCTTGGGCGCCCCGAAGCCTTCTTCACAACAATTGAACCTCTCTCCTTGAAGTTCTTGATGATCCGATAAATGGTTGATTTAGGTGCAATCTTACTAGCAGCAATATCCTTGCCTGTGAAGCCCTTTTTGTGCAAAGCAATGATGACGGCACGTGTTTCCTTGCAGGTAACCATGGTTAACAGAGGAAGAACAATGATTTCAAGCACCACCCTCCTTTTAAAGCTTCCAGTCTGATATTCTAACTCAATCAGCATGACAGAGTGATCTCCAGCCTGGTCCTCGTCAACACTCTCACCTGTGTTAACGAGAGAATCACTGACAAGATGTCAGCTGGTCCTTTTGTGGCAGGGCTGAAATGGAGTGGAAATGTTTTTTTGGGATTAAGTTCATTTTCATGGCAAAGAGGGACTTTGCAATTAATTGCAATTAATCTGATCACTCTTCATAACATTCTGGAGTATATGCAAATTGCCATCATAAAAACTGAGGCAGCAGACTTTGTGAAAATTAATATTTGTGTCATTCTCAAAACTTTTGACCACGACTGAGTGAGCAAAACATTAGGAACACCTGCTCTTTCCACGACAGACTGACCAGGTGAAAGCTATGATCCCTTATTGATGTCACCTGTTAAATCCACTTCTATCAGTGTAGATGAAGGGGAGGAGACAGGTTAAAGAAGGATATTTAAGCCTTGAGACAATTGAGAGATGGATTGTCTATGTGTGCCATTCAGAGGGTGAATGGGCAAGACAAAAGATTGACGTGCCTTTGAACAGGGTATGATAGTAGGAGCCAGGCACACCGGTTTGAGTGTGTCAAGAACTGCAATGCTGCTGGGTTTTTCACGCTCAACAGATTCCTGGGTGTATCAAGAATGGTTCACCACCCAAAACGCATCCAGCCAACTTGACACAACTGTGGGAAGCATTGGAGTCAACATGGGCCAGCATCCCTGTGGAACGCTTTCGATGCCTTGTAGAGTCCATGCCCCGACTAACTGAGGCTGTTATTTTGTATACTTTTATTTATATATATATACACATACACACACACACAAAAGTATGTGGACACCCCTTCAAATGAGTGGATTCGGCTATTTCAGCCACACCAGTTGCTGACAGGTGTATAAAATCGAGCACACAGCCATGCAATCTCCATAGACAAACATTGGCAGTGGAATGGCCTTACTTAAGAGCTCAGTGACTTTCAACGTGGCACCGTCATAGGATGCTACCTTTCCAACAAGTTTCTGCCCTGCTAGAGCTGCCCCGGTCAACTGTAAGTGCTGTTATTATGAAGTGGAAACGTCTAGGAGCAACAACGGCTCAGCCGTGAAGTGGTAGGCCACACAAGCTCACAGAACGGGACTGCCAAGTGCTGATGCAGGCAGCGTGTAAAAATCGTCTGTACTCTGTTGCAACACTCACTACCGAGTTTCAAACTGCCTCTGGAAGGAACATCAGCACAAGAACTGTTCGTCGGGAGCTTCATGAAATGGGTTTCCATGGCCGAGCAGCCACACACAAGCCTAAGATCACCATGCGCAATGTCAAGTGTCGGCTGGAGTGGTGTAAAGCTGGTAATGATGGTCTGGGGCTGTTCTTAATAGTTCGGGCTAGGCCTCTTAGTTCCAGTGAAGGGAAATCTTAATGCTACAGCATACAATGACATCTAGTGGAAAGCCTTCCCAGAAGTGCAGGCTGTTATAGCTGCAAAGGGGGGACCAACTCCATATTAATGCCCATGATTTTGGAATGAGATGTTCGACGAGCAGGTGTCCAAATAGTTTTGGTCGTGTGTGTCAGTCAGTCAGTCATACTTTGCCTCCAAACGGTGTGTTGAGATATCCAGTGTCCCAGTCCTTGTGTCACTAATCTTGCTGCTCTGTTTGTCCCTCCCAGGAGACCTGCCAACCCAGACTCCTCCTGCCCCTCGTCCCAGCCTGCCACTGCTGATGTGGCATCACCGCCCCAGCCCCCATGCTTCACTCCCTCTGTGAGTTTCTCCCACGCAACATGTCACATTGTATGATCTAAGCTATTTAGTCCATCCATTTCTATGGAGGAATTGTAAGATATTTCTGGTGTTATTGTTTTTTAAACTTTATTTTATTTATCTTCTCTAATCAGATGATCTATGAAGAGTCTGACATCACCTCGGCCAGTGTGAACAAAAACTGCTCTCCGCTGTTGGTCAAACAGGACCACACGCCCAACGCAGGAAAAGTGCTCAAGTCTGTCTTTGTGCCAAATATTGGTTGGGCCTCACAGCTGACCAGTGGAGAGGTGTGGGTGCAGTTCAACGATGGTTCCCAGCTAGTGGTGCAGGCAGGGGTCTCCTGTATTATCTACACGTCCCCAGAGGGACGGACCACCAGGTACTGAACACTTACACAGCACCTACAGTGGAGAAAAAAAGTATTTAGTCAGCCACCAATTGTGCAAGTTCTCCCACTTAAAAAGATGAGAGAGGCCTGTAATTTTCATCATAGGTACACGTCAACTATGACAGACAAAATGAGAATTTTTTTTCAGAAAATCACATTGTAGGATTTTTTTATGAATTTATTTGCAAATTATGGTGGAAAATAAGTATTTGGTCAATAACAAACGTTTCTCAATACTTTGTTATATACCCTTTGTTGGCAATGACACAGGTCAAACGTTTTCTGTAAGTCTTCACAAGGTTTTCACACACTGTTGCTGGTATTTTGGCCCATTCCTCCATGCAGATCTCCTCTAGAGCAGTGATGTTTTGGGGCTGTCACTGGGCAACACAGACTTTCAACTCCCTCCAAAGATGTTCTATGGGGTTGAGATCTGGAGACTGGCTAGGCCACTCCAGGACCTTGAAATGCTTCTTACGAAGCCACTCCTTCGTTGCCCGGGCGGTGTGTTTGGGATCATTGTCATGCTGAAAGACCCAGCCACGTTTCATCTTCAATGCCCTTGCTGATGGAAGGAGGTTTTCACTCAAAATCTCACGATACATGGCCCCATTCATTCTTTCCTTTACACGGATCAGTCGTCCTGGTCCCTTTGCAGAAAAACAGCCCCAAAGCATGATGTTTCCACCCCCATGCTTCACAGTAGGTATGCTGTTCTTTGGATGCAACTCAGCATTCTTTGTCCTCCAAACACGACAAGTTGAGTTTTTACCAAAAAGTTCTATTTTGGTTTCATCTGACCATATGACAGTCTCCCAATCCTCTTCTGGATCATCCAAATGCACTCTAGCAAACTTCAGACGGGCCTGGACATGTACTGGCTTAAGCAGGGGGACACATCTAGCACTGCAGGATTTGAGTCCCTGGCGGCGTAGTGTGTTACTGATGGTAGGCTTTGTTACTTTGGTCCCAGCTCTCTGCAGGTCATTCACTAGGTCCCCCCGTGTGGTTCTGGGATTTTTGCTCACCGTTCTTGTGATCATTTTGACCCCACGGGGTGAGATCTTGCGTGGAGCCCCAGATCGAGGGAGATTATCAGTGGTCTTCCGTATGTCTTCCATTTCCTAATAATTGCTCCCAGTTGATTTCTTCAAACCAAGTTGCTTACCTATTGTAGATTCAGTCTTCCCAGCCTGGTGCAGGTCTACAATTTTGTTTCTGGTGTCCTTTGACAGCTCTTTGGTCTTGGCCATAGTGGAGTTTGGAGTGTGACTGTTTGAGGTTGTGGACAGGTGTCTTTTATACTGATAACAAGTTCAAACAGGTGCTATTAATACAGGTAACGAGTGGAGGACAGAGTAGCCTCTTAAAGAATAAGTTACAGGTCTGTGAGAGCCAGAAATCTTTCTTGTTTGTAGGTGACCAAATACTTATTTTCCACCATAATTTGCAAATAAATTCATTAAAAATCCTACAATGTGATTTTCAGGATTTTTTTTCTCATTTTGTCTGTCATAGTTGACGTGTACCTATGATGAAAATTACAGGCCTCTCTCATCTTTTTAAGTGGGAGAACTTGCACAATTGGTGGCAGACTAAATACTTTTTTCCCCCACTGTATATAACAAATACAATAACTGACACATGGCTTCACCACTGTTTCATAGTGCTATGTCAATGTCCATATTTTGTTAATTTTCTGATGTAAAATATGGTTTTGTGTTTTTCTGTATTTGAGGAATAGTAGTTGTCGAACTCTTTTTGCTGACATGTTCCTGCTTGTGTTGTTCCAGGTACAAGGAGAATGAGAAGTTGCCAGAGCTTGTGAAGGAGAAGCTGCACTGTCTCTCCACCATCCTGGGCCTGTTGGCCAGTCCAGCAGTACGCCGCTGAATCAAACCTCAGCAGCATCGCCCCCTTGCTGTTACATTGACACGTCCCAGTGCACCAATGATGTTGCAGGGAGGAGACACTTTCATAGGCTTTATACTGTGACATACATGCCTCTCAAGTGTGCTTGTAAATATGTTTCTTTTCTATGTACAGATGACAAATTATGAATATATATTTTATAAAATACCCATGTTGTACAGCATCTTGTGTTGAAATAGTTTGTATGTGCGTGTGAACTTGTCTTTTGTAATTTTCTACATTGTCAGTTGTCGAACCATAATCTCCATGAAATGTCAGATGCATAAAAGCTGAAGCAATAAACATCTGCAGGCTGGGTAGAGTTCAGTCACACTGGTGTTCAGGGGTCTTTTGTTCTTCATCTCACTTTCGCAACAGCATAAATGGGTAAAAGTAAATGTTTACAGCAAAAACGTTAACATTTCAAGGATGAATGGTTGTTTGCATACTTCACTGGTGTATGGTATCAATATACAGGACAGATACATGAGCATGAGACCTATCGTGAGAAACCCAATACACAACTTTTGGGAATTATTTTAACTTTTTCCAAGAATAGTCATCTATGATCTGTTTTTCTGGACTAAAGCACTAGAATAGTAATAGCAATTTTCATCCCACAAGGTTTTTAGAAATCACTCAACTTAGTTTTTATTTTTCAGATTTATTTTTTGCTAAGTTGGTTTAGCCATTTAATAAAAAAGTCACATTGTGGATGAGATTTGTTTCTTTAGAGAACTTTTACAAAACATGTATGCATATGTGTATTATATACTATATACATAACGTTACTATATATAACATTCAGGTGGAAGCGGAGAGCACAATGACTGTCAGGGTTGGAGAAATGATCAAGGTAGTAAGTAGGGTTAATATTTATTTCCCATTTAGAAGCACAATGAAGAACACACTATAGTGATGTAGAGATGTAAGTGTTTCCACAACATACTGGGCATGGCTTGGTTAATACATTCTCTCCTTGGTCACTGTTCACCCACACAGGGATGAGGATGTGTCCTTCAATAGGAAAGGCTTTAGGAGCACTGCTACTCAACTCTTGTCCTGGAGGGCTGCAGGTGGAATGGCTACACTGTTTAGACGGTCAGTCACTGTCACCAGGCTATTGGGGCTAAGTAACCTCTGATTAACGTGTCAATTCAGTGTGCCAGCCTACTTATTCTATATGCTGATGCTTGCTCCTCCAGGATTAAGCAGTGCTTAAAACACCCTATTATTTAACATCGAGTTGGCAGCCCTGCACTCTTTTCCTTGCACTTCAACTGGATGCTAAGGGTGAAGACAGTGGCAGCTGTAAGCTTGGTCTTGCAGTTCTGAAGATCATTTCATTTGCCAACCAATCATTTCACTACTCGTCTGACAAGAATCCCTTATTTGTTCGAATCATCACTCCACTATATAAAAATAATTTCCCTCCCCATAGAATCTCAAAATAAATTGCTCTTAGTAAATGTCAGGACAAAAACATTAACAAAATAAGTTTTAAAAAGTTTCTCTGAACATTGGGAGCAAAATTTGAAAATGTTCTCTTATTTTAACATATTGTGACATCTCAAAATGACACAGCAGCTGATGCTTACAGGGTGTTTGGAGACTGTTACCGGTTATATAAGAGAGCACCGGGCTGACTAGATGGTGTTTTACTGTTTAATAGATGCCAGCAGTCTGCTTAAAATGATGTCTTGTCAATAAGGCTGAAAGTACTGAGAACATAAAGAATCCTTAGTGTTGTCATCAAGACATCATTCACTTAATGGTCACAAAAATTATAATTTCTGTTGATTTAGTTGGCTAAATATATATATTCTATATCATTCAATTAGAAATTAGTGGAGTAAGAGTTCGTTTTCTGAACACAATACCAATTGAACACTGTATTAAAGAGGCCCAGAGGTTGAATTGAGTTTTGAATGAGTAGTAATGGAGGGAGAAGGAATGACAGAGTTCACCATGCCGATTCAATTCCATAAAACAGTCATTTTTCACTAAAGCATTGGAATTCTGGAATACTTTTTGAAAACACACACAAACGGAATGTGATCCTCATCTTTCAGCAATGCTGGAGCAACGCCAATCAAGTTATGAGAGGCAAGGAAATGGACTGGTTTGTAGTCACATAAAACACCTGTATAAACCTCAACCATATCTGACAAACACTCAAAAGGCCTTTATAAACATTATTCCATATTAAACTTGGTCACATGAACAAAGATTTATTTTTCTGCTGACAAATGTTTATATCAGGTGTGATCAAAGGTTTATGCAGGTATTTTCAGCCTTTCGTGCTACATGTACTGTATCTTGATATTAAAATCTACTTTGTTTCTGCTGTTGTGAAGAATATGAAATTCACATGACAAGAGCCTTGCACTACACAGAGCATATTGTCAATTAAATGGCACACAGTAAAGCAACCAGCGTTCAATTTAATCTTATCTAATGTCGACCAAGACCCCAATGAATTGCTTGTTATTTTGGAAATGATAGAGTGGGTTCTTCTGCTTAAAGTCAGTTGATATGCGTGCCATTCGCACAGGCAGCTGCTCCAAACCTGTGGATGAGTGTTATAATACCCAGACAATAATCTTGCCCTACAACACATTTCACTGCACCTATCTGGTATATATGACAATAAAATACATTTTTATCCCTTCTACCCTAACTCCCCTTTTTGACAGAGTGGTAACAAGTCATCACTGGTGACTTTCAATGCAGGAAATGTATGTGTGTCTGGAGCATAGGATGTTAAAATTGCCTTTTTCTTCACTGCTGTAATCAAAAGGCCAGACAAGGCCATTCCCCTAACCATCTCATGTGGACCACTTGATTACAGAGATTTCACAGAGAGAAACTAAAATCAGTAATTAAGCAGAGTTCCCAAAAGTTCACATTACAGTACTGTGAGTCTTATTAAACAAAACAATCCAAAAAAGGCAGAGAAAAAAAATCTACACCCAATCACCATCAATATCTACATAGAAAAAAAGTTGGTTTTTGATTACAGATATTAGAATTAATATCATAATAATGACTATTATTCATTATTGTCACAATCATCTGTTTTTGTTGGAGGTTAATACAGGGTGGGGGCTAAGGTGGAAGAGGAGGGCAGTCATTGGGAGGAAGCCTTGGTGGCTATTGTGGACACACAGTGCTGCTGGAAGTTGGGGGACATGGCTGAGTTACAGCCCAGTCTCTGGCGGGGGCCCTTCAGGTTCCCATCCCCCTCCACGATCCAGGGGCTGCTGCTGGCCTCCTTCCCCAGCATGCTGCAACAGCCTGGGGAGCCCGGGGCTGGGGTTGGGGTGGGGGCTGTGGGTACCGTAGCGCTGGATTCCAGGCCTTTGGGCTGCTCGCTGGCTGGGGGGCTGTCGGGGGCATGAGTCTGGAGCACACTGGTGATGTGGGTCAGGAGGTCGTTGAAGAACTCTGGGACACCCTCATAACCTGGAGACAGAAGAGGGCGAGCCATGAGACATGGCTGACTGATGCTTATATCTCATCTCCAATACAGTGGGAAACTGATGGTAACAGTCCAGGTAAATGAGTGAAAGGACTTTTTTTGTATTTTGAGTGCCTAGGTTTTGTCATTGAGGCACTGAGGGTGAATGTTTGTGAGAGTAGTGATTAGCTCACTACCATTCTCCTCACACTCCAACCGTCAAAAGTAGCAAAAGGGTGCAACCCAAGAACAGTGTTCCCATAGTGACAACAGCCCTAGTCAAAAGAAAGGCATGCTAGACTTGCCTCAGAACGTGCTCAATTCTCATTTAACACTGCTGATGCCTCGGCTCTGTCTCTAAGCAAGACCATGTCAATTAGCCCACTAGATTATATCGATCCCTAAAAGCAATCTCTCAAAGATTTGAAATTACTAACTGGTAGAGATTGTAAAACTGAGTCATACGCCTAGACAGGTAGTACAAATGGCCATCCATCTTAGACTAACAGATAAACACACAAACCCACATCTTCTCCTATTCCCTACGGCAGAGGAACAAACCACTCACCAGGGAATGCATTGATATCGATGACGGCGTGTTGGCCCGTAAGGTTGTTGATGATGACGTCAATGCCAAACAAGGACACGCCCAGCTCCTGTCGCAAGGACCTGGACAGCTCTCTGATGACATCATCACTGGGTGGCTGGGAGACCCCCTCCACGTTGTCCCTCTGTGGTAGGAAGAAAACTAAGTCAGAGTATACTGTACTAGGGGCATTCAATAACTCACTGAGGTTTGCCTTAATACATAGATACAGTGGGGAGAACAAGTATTTGATACACTGCCGATTTTGCAGGTTTTCCTACTTACAAAGCATGTAGAGGTCTGTAATTTTTATCATAGGTACACTTCAACTGTGAGAGACAGAATCTAAAAAATAAATCCAGAAAATCACATTGTATGATTTTTAAGTAATTAATTTGCATTTTATTGCATGACATAAGTATTTGATTACCTACCAACCAGTAAGAATTCCGGCTCTCACAGACCTGTTAGTTTTTCTTTAAGAAGCCCTCCTGTTCTCCATTCATTACCTGTATTAACTGCACCTGTTTGAACTCGTTACCTGGATAAAAGACACCTGTCCACACACTCAATCAAACAGACTCCAACCTCTCCACAATGGCCAAGACCAGAGAGCTGTGTAAGGACATCAGGGATAAAATTGTAGACCTGCACAAGGCTGGGATGGGCTACAGGACAATAGGCAAGCAGCTTGGTGAGAAGGCAACAACTGTTGGCGCAATTATTAGAAAATGGAAGAAGTTCAAGATGACGGTCAATCACCCTCGGTCTCGGTCATGCAAGATCTCACCTCGTGGGGCATCAATGATCATGAGGAAGGTGAGGGATCAGTCCAGAACTACACGGCAGGACCTGGTCAATGACCTGAAGAGAGCTGGGACCACAGTCTCAAAGAAAACCATTAGTAACACACTACGCTGTCATGGATTAAAATCCTGCAGCGCACACAAGGTCCCCCTGCTCAAGCCAGCGCATGTCCAGGCCCGTCTGAAGTTTGCCAATGACCATCTGGATGATCCAGAGGAGGAATGGGAGAAGATCATGTGGTCTGATGAGACAAAAATAGAGCTTTTTGGTCTAAACTCCACTCGCCGTGTTTGGAGGAAGAAGAAGGATGAGTACAACCCCAAGAACACCATCCCAACCGTGAAGCGTGGAGGTGGAAACATCATTATTTGGGGATGCTTTTCTGCAAAGGAGACAGGACGACTGCACCGTATTGAGGGGAGGATGGATGGGGCCATGTATCACGAGATCTTGGCCAACAACCTCCTTCCCTCAGTAAGAGCATTGAAGATGGGTCGTCCAGCATGACAACG